CAATCTCGTTTGACTAACTCTATGAAACAGGACCTAACGCGATATTTATGATTGCCGAAATGTATAGCATGATCTCTGGTGTTAAAAGTCCCGATACCGAACTATTATTGACTTCTAATTGTTCTCTCTTTTCGTAGAGATCTGTGGTTGCAAACGCCGAACTTTTATCGCGACTATTCCAACAAGAGATGGCGGTATTGCACATCATCAGTCGAGACCATCTTTTCACAAGAGTCTGATTCAAAGATTCAAATGATTTTATTTATCATACAAAACATAATAATACAATGAAATTTCAATGTTATTTGCAATTTAATATAAGAATATTGCAAAAATATATATGTACAATGGAACAAGACTAATATGATACTAATGGCAAGGAAAAAAGGAAGTAACTAAAGGCAGGGCTTGTGAAGTACTTAGTTCCTTAGATGCTGTTTTACAACACGTCTTGAAAAACAAAGTATATATAGAAAAACAATCTGTTAAAAAATATGTAGCAATACAGAAATAGACCGGTTTTACTAACAATTTCAAAACGTATGCATAATGTTTAAAGAAAGGAGTCTCTTGACAACCCGTTAGCTTGTCCAAGGCTTGCCAGACATAGCAACAAGCCATGTACGCAAATTGGATTCCAAGTATTGTACATGTACCTCATTCATTAACAACATTTTAATTTGAAAACTATCCAGAGACTCCTAATAAATTGCGTTACTGACTAATTAATTATGTCATTACAAATCTTTATTCTCAGTTTTCTTATGTATAACTGATTTTCTTATAAAACTGAAGATATGGCGTATTTATTCAATACTGAATGAACGCCATTAAACTATTACCAACAACAACAACAACAACAACAACAACAACAACAGTTTAATGGAAAACCTCGTCGCCATAGTTCCCCAGGAAAGAAACATCCGTACATTTGAATTTATGTTAGTAAGCCGGTACATTCATGTACAGCTAGTTCATTTCCATGTGTGGTTGCCTGACGTATAAAAACGTTTCATTTCATACTCATTCGTATTCAATGAGTACGAGTTGGTTAAATATACAGTAGGCTTGCGGGTGCACCATGTGAGAGAGAGAGGGAGGGTAGAGGAGTCCTGACAAGGACTCTCGGTAATCTTTCTTGAAGGTGTGTAGTCCTGAAAAGGACTGTTGGTTATATTTCTTAGCTTCTAGTTCTCAGGAGAACTATAGCGCTTGGAGAGGATGGATGGCAGGAGTGGCTCGACGTTTCGAACAGGTTGACTATCCGTCGTCAGGAGTCGGTTAAACTAAGTGAATACATTTAAAAAAAAAAATTAATTCACGATGTAAAACAATTGTTTACAGATAATACATTCAGTGGGTTACATCGAGAGATAATACATAGTAGGAACAGTGCAAATTATTGCGCTTCAAACATTTTTTGTTTATTAAACAAAAAATGTTTGAAGCGCAATGTACCTAAGATAACATAGCTGATAATTATTAGGTTCTGTCGTTACAAAAATAAAACAAAATACAGAATAAATGCTTAAATCAAAATCATGCCCCTTAACGTATTTGAATAACAAGCAAAAACAAGGGAATACACATCATTACCTCTTCTTGACAAATATAGCACTATTGTAATGTACCTCAAAAGTTAACAAGCATAATTTGGAGAGAAATAATTCCTTCAATTTCTTTTTAAATAACAAAAGATTATTACAAGTTCTTACTATTTCAGGTGGCAAAGCGTTCCAAATGTCAAGACCTGTCGTAGTAAAATAATAACGATGATGATAATGATAACAGTAATAATAATAATAATAATAATATTTTTTTTTACCCAGGGAAGCCTCATAAGAGTCAGTACTTATCTTTCTGAAGGCCCTGCAATTATGAGTACCCCATTTAATTGTCAGGTATCCAGGGACAATTCATTTCAATTCAATTCATATTCCTTTCATTTCCAACAAAAAGGAAAACAAAGATATTACTTCTTTTTTTCATACATAATTCATTTTTTCTGGTTACTATACAAATACACTTTGCACATAATAAAATTATTACAAGGAATTCTGAATTTCTGGGGAAATGGATCCCCCAGAAAAAATATAATTGTTTCAAATTTTGCCTACGAAGACTTGGAAAACACAAGACAATATTTCAAAAAAACGAACAACCACGAAACGACAAAGAAAATTGATGCGACGCCAATAAGAAAAATAAATACATAATAAGCTCGATTGAATGATAGTCATTCATTATAAGACATTGTTCCAAATTAAATGACAAAAGACGAAATTGCCCATGAAAAAAGAAAAATAAATGAAAAAAGTGCTGAAAGCTGAATGGAATACCAATACTCAGGATAGTCAACGTGGTAAAGAGGGCTATTTCGATAGGACACCCTCTTCGTTGAGTTTTCAAGTATGTCTGAAAGAAAGAAAATGTGGGGTGGGGGCAGTTAGAGTGACGGAATTCCATATTTGTCTAACAATGTCTGATATCAAAGCAAATAATATGAGGAACATGGAGACATTTTAAAACCCCGGTGTTGTTATTGCATATTCAGAGGTGATAGTTAATGACCCCCTATTTCACATAAAATCAAGAGCATTCTCACAACGAAAATATGACCCCTTTATGCACGAATACAGGTACAAAATATGCTTTAAATTAATGGGGTTTTCGAGTATACATTAAGCAAAGAACATATTTTTTGCAAACATCGAGGAAATAATGACCAATTGCTCTAAAAAAAAATTAGATTCTCCTATGTTATTTATTCAAATCCAATACATTCATTCCTTTATTTCTGTTATTGAAAGACAATTCCCTGTACAAACAATCAAAAGACTGATACAAAAAAGGTGTCATAGTTTTATTGTTCAAAATTGTATAAAAGAATCCAATAAATTCATCAATATTGACAAGAAACAAACCTTGACATTACAAAAGAAAAAGAATGGTTTAACCTTAAAGTCATTTTCAATTTCCGTATTATAAAGTAAAGAGAGAAAGGGAAAATACCCCAAAACAGACCATCTTAAAACGAAATTTATAACTACTTGCAGTCGTCACACTGAACAAGGAGTTATATCAACATTGTATAACAGACTCCTTACTATGAAGTGCTACCAGATGATGACGTGGATCCTAATCAAATGATTGGCTGAAAGTTTACACGTGACCAGGCATTTATTTTGCCTAACGCGTAATCTGGATAATGACCGGTCATTATTCAATTCTAATGAACGGTCATTAGTAAAAAAAAAAAAAAAAAAAAAAAAACATGCTATAAAACATCATTTTATAAAACAAATAAAACATAATCTTATAAAACAAATAATTCACGTCATTTTGTTCGGGCATTAGTAAAAAATTACCCACACTCGGTACCTTCAAAACAGTCCAAACAACCTCGGCTACCACCTCGGGCCTGTTAGACTGTTCCAAAGGTACCTTGTATGAGTAATTCTTACTAATGCCCTCACTGCTGTATATTATTTGTATAAGAACAGACTCCTTGCTATATGAAGTGCTACCACCGGGCTCCATTGCTAGCACATTATGCCTATACACATTATATATTCGGACATTTGCATCATTCTCCCATTACGAGCTTTGATATTGATTTATTCTTTGTTGAATTGATCCAAGGCTAAAGCAAGTGACAAGCCATGACGGTCAAACCATGGACAATACATTACAATACCCCTGGAATCAAACAAAGGCGAAGAATCTAGACATAACATGAAGTCATTGCAAAAAGCATGGCGTAACTAGTCTTTATTAAGGTCAGTTAACTTTTACTATTTGTTTGAACCAATACTTCATTTAAATATACCTACTAACAATAATGATACTGATAATAATAACATCCTGGCTTATAAGTTATAGCGCTTGAAACATCTATGATGTCTCTTTTTTAAGTTTTACCTTAAGATTTTTTTTTGTTCTTTTTTTTTTTTTAGGCCGCCATCCTTGTCAAGCTTTGCTTATGATTGCGGTCTCCTGCACTTTTACAACAGAATAGTTCGGATAATACTTTAAATTTATGATAATATATTATGGAAATAATAAGTTTTGTTATTATATGTACATATATTATGGGGAAAAAAAGATTGACATGAAGAAATTATTGTTTGTTTATGTTGTATTATACCTTACATGTATATTATGTTCTTTGTTATTCAGTTATATTTTATTTGGTAAAAATGCAGAAATAAAAAAAATAAAAATCAAATCAAAATAACGCGCTTTACAAATATCGGCCATCGGATACTGGACTGCTAAAGGGCGTTACTGGCGGGCTGGGATTCGAACCCTTAACCCTCATATGAGAGTCACGCGAATAAACCACTACACCATGACACATCTTCACCTAGACTGTATTTAATTTGCTGGGGCTTACTATTAGCGATATTAATTCTGTTATCGTCACCATGCATCTGAGATTGACTTGTCAGCTGGTACATTATAATAAAACTTCCCCATAGTTACACAATAGTCGGGCATTGTTATGAAATCAGCGTTTAATTGACTGATAGATTGGAATTCAAATTCTTTTCTGATCGTCGGTCCAATTTGGTAAACACAGAAATAAATACAATAAATAATTCAGAAGGTATATAGAAGGAGGCGAAAATCCGGAAAACAAAGCTTGTGATGGGAGCGCATATAAAGTAACGTGTAGAGACATCATGATATTAATACATATTGATACAACATCCTGGTTTCCCGTTATGAGTGCATGTAAGAGTTCAAGAGCGATAGAAGAAATACAAATTAATGAAGCAGACATGTATTAATTCGATTTATTAAATTTAGTATAGTTTCTTTAATTGTAATTTATTGTGTCAAATGTCTAGTAGCCAGCAATAGGAAACCGCTTACAGCGAGACTAGTCTAATTACCATGACATTGATTAATATCGATAACACCGTGGCGATCTTTCTATCGTACTTTAATACTTCATTACTCGATTGTGTAACACCAAAGTCTAGATAGAACAACAACGCTCTTTATGGTTTCATGTTTTCATGGCTTACGGTGATCACTTACGGATGGATTAATTTTCCTCATAATTTGGATAACTGTTTCGAAGGATTTCGTGAAATAAACAGTCATGATTGGATGATTAATTATTTAGCAAGGTGAAATCACAAATTACAGTTCAGCATTCGTGGTAGAGACGCAGTGTTTAGTTTGTGTTTGAACTAGGATGCTCCTTTCTATGTAGGAATGAACTTAACTCGTGCTTAGAGTTTCGGCAAATTTAGAAAATCATAAAAACAGGTAAGTTGATTTTGATTAGCAGCATTAATGCTGCATGCTTTAATAGCGTTTGTGTTATCTCTGTAATAACTGTCATTTTGGAAGATGTAATTACAGTTTAACCTATCATTCACTTAGGATTATTCAGTCTTGTGAATCGGATAACTGCACATTTGAAATGTGGAGATGTCGTGGTGTAGTGGTCCATTCACTTGATTCACTATCCAAGGGTTGAGGGTTCAAATCCCGGCCGCGACAATGTCGTTAATCATCATTTGCCACTGTCCACTCAGGTGATAATGGGTACCTATAAATGCTATTATTATTATTATTATTATTATTATTATTATTATTATTATTATTATTATTAACTGGTTATTGCTTAATTGGGTAATGATATTTGCAGGTCCCTCGGGATGTTTTGGCCATATTCTGAAATGTCCTCTCACTTTTTCATTTCTTTAATTTCTTCGCCATCATTGTCTTCAAGTTTCCTCTTTTTTCCACATTATAATGGTTAAACTCGGGGTCTTATGCACAAATGAACAAATTATTATTTTCTGGAGGGAATTTGAAATGATTATTCATCTATGACTGCATTTAACATTGGGCTTTGAACATACCTGTAAGAAATTAAACAATGAACAAAAAATAAGTTTCATTAATTTTTTTTTTTTTAAATAAAAAAAAAAAAATAAAAAAAATCAGCGTTTACTATAATTATAAAATGCTTCTCTCAATGTATTCGGCGTACAATTTTATATACTGTTTCTCCGTCATCCATTTATGTTTACTACCCCCCCCTATCCCAATCTTAGGGGCATGCACCATACAATCATATTTGTTTTAGTAGGCATGTCAAAGTATACATTTAGGTCCACAATATTTCGTACTCCGTATTTTCAGATCTTTTATATTTTATCTCCCACACGAAATTAATACATTGTTTATGTCAATTATTTAATCTGAATGACTATTGGAACGGGAATAAATCAAACTCAAATCTCACCTATTTCATTGTTTACATCCCATTCACCCTTTTCGTTTTCTTCTCGTCATTCCAACTTTTCTGTCTCTTCTCGTTTGTCATCCATTTTTGTTTCTCTCTCTCTCTCTCCTCAAATAAGACCCATCTCGCATCATCACCTACAATGGCCTTGCACACTGCTTTTAGGGAATGAAAATACTGCATCAATAACGCCTTTCGTTACTTGAACAATGGAGGTGCTAATTATGGGAAATTGGCATGATTGGCACCAACGTAATTACATTTGAATGCAGGCCTATTCAAAATACTGGTCTAGATGTTTTCTTTCAGAGACAGGCTTGGGCATTTAGGCCCGTCACCATGGCACTATGAAGCAGTAAATGGAAGGGTTCTAGTGAACTAGTGCAATGTTTACGATAATTCTCCCAAACATCTTTTGCTTTTACGTTTTCTTCTTTCTTTACATTTTCTTCTTTATCTCCAATTCCATTATCATTCTCGCATTCTCCACCTTCTTATTCAACGCCTTATTTTTCTTCTTCTTTTCACCTCCTCTACCTTCTTATTTATCTTCTCAATATCTCTTCCCTTCTTTTACTCACCAACCTTTTTTCTCTTCTTCTTCTTCGTCTCCTCCTCTTTCTTCTTCTTCTTAATCAAAATCGTTAAGTATTTTTAAATAAAATCTAAAGCACATCTTTTCATTTAACTTTATGTTGTAGCTATAAGCATATCACGTGCTCTTGCAGCGCAGTCGAATATTTCCATAGTTTCTGTGCTTTATTAACGCTTCTAGCAGTACAAGTAGTAGTAGTAGTATTAGTAGTATAGTATAAGTAGTAGTAGTAGTAGTAGTATTAGTAGTATTTCAACATTCATGTTAATAATGTTTCGCCAAATACCAGGCTCTTCCTCGAAACTCTAAGTGCCTATGACCTTAAACAACATATTCTGGTCCCAACACACATACATGGCCACACTCTGGACTTGCTAATCACTCGCCAGTCAGATATAAATACTGTGACAGATGTAATGGTGGTGGATGGTCTTTCCGACCATTCTGCCATAATTTGTAAGTTGAACTTAACAAAACCTCCTGCTGCAAAAAGTGTGATACACACACGGAACATTAAGTCCATAAATATTGTATCTTTTATGGAAAAAATCACAGAACTATCTCTCCTTGGAAACTGTTCAAATAGTGATGTTTCAGAATCTGTTGAATGTTATAATTCTCTATTAAGAACTGTCCTTGATGAGTATGCTCCTGTGAAACAGAGATGTGTCACAGTTCGTCCTAACACAAAGTGGTACTGTCAAGATATTGCAAACAAAAAACTCCAACGTAGGAAATTGGAGCGCAAATGGCTTAAATCGGGCCTTGAGTCTGATCGTGTGAAATATCAGAACCAGCGTCAGTTGGTGCAGTTAAGTGTTCGCGCTGCCAAAACGTCATATAACTCTATGCTGGTTGAAAGCTGCACAAGTACAAAACAGCTGTTTAGAGTTGCAAACGTTTTACTTATGCGAATCTTGCAGATCGTTTTAACAAATTCTTTGTGGAAAAAATTCAGAATGTCAGATCAGCTCTTACTAATATCGGAGGGTTTGAAATTCCTTTGATTACAGAGAAGACACTAGATAAGCTATCTCCAACAACACCTAATGAGATTAAGTCGATCATAATGAGTTCACCTTCTAAATCTAGTGAACTTGACCCCATACCAACATTGCTTTTGAAACAATGTCTCCCTGCTATTATACCATCAATTGTAACTATAATTAACACAAGTCTTGGTTCAGGGTTAGTTCCTGACAGTATGAAGATTGCAGCAGTGCGCCCCACCTTGAAAAAAATCCAATTTGGACAGTGAGTGTCTTCAGAACTATAGACCTATCTCAAATTTGTCGTATCTGTCCAAACTCACAGAACGAGTGGCTTTCTCACGTCTTCGCACATATCTTATTGAAAATAATTTAATTGATAATTTTCAATCTGCCTACCGCCCACACCATAGTGTGGAAACTCTGCTAACTAATCTTGTGGACTGTGTCCACTCCGAAATGGATAAAGGTAACATTACTTTTCTTGTGCTACTTGATATGTCAAGTGCTTTCGACACTATTGACCACACAATACTTGTTAAGAGACTACAGTCTCTTGGGGTAACAGGCACTGCGTTGCAGTGGTTTTCATCATACATTCATAAAAGAACCCAGTATGTCTCTGTAAATAACTCTCAATCTGACAAAACTTATCTTTCATACGGTGTGCCACAAGGGTCTGTTGGTGGCCCGTTAATGTTTTCTGTTTACCTTGAGCCAATCAGTACAATAATTAGAAAGCATAATATAAAATATCATTGTTACGCTGATGACATTCAGCTTTTCATTTCTGTACATCCTTCCTCAGATGCAATTGCCGATGCTAAGAGAACTTTAGAAGCCTGTATTCAAGACATGAAAGGCTGGATGGATTCCAACGGTCTTAAAATAAATGAAAATAAAACCGAGTTTATCATTTTGGGCTCTAAGAACTCTTTACTGAGAGCAAATCATACTCATTTAAGCTTGCATCTAGGTGACAAAGTTCTAAAGCCAGCCTCAAAGGTCCGTAACCTTGGTGTGATATTTGACAATAATATGTCATTTGTTGAACATGTATCTAGCATATCAAAGTCTGTAAGATATCAACTGCGGAACCTTGGGTTCATACGAAAATCTCTGACTCAAAAAGCATGCGAACAATTAATCCATGCATTAATCTCATCCCGCTTAGATTTTTGTAATTCTATTCTATTTGGACTCACAAAACAGCAGCAAGACAGACTGCAATCCCTTCAAAATTCCAGTGCAAGACTCCTTACTTTCACACCAAGAATGTCTTCTATTACGCCTATATTACGCTCTCTTCACTGGCTACCTGTCCAGAAAAGGGTCCACTTCAAAATTATGTTACTTGTTTATCGGGCTCTCCATGGAATCTCGCCACAATACATTAAAGACTCACTACACTCCTACAATCCAACTCGTACCTTAAGATCTGGAAGTGATAATTTGCTGCAAATTCCCCGTACCCGTCATTCATGGGGAGACCATGCTCTTTCGCATGCAGCAGCCAAATTATGGAATAAGCTTCCCTCATCACTTCGCTGTATTGCAACATACTCTGCCTTTAAAACTCGTCTTAAGACTTACCTATTCCATTTGTAACCCAGTATTTCCTTAAGTTGTATAAGTTTATTTTACTAAATCCATAATTGATATGTTATTTGTATATACATTTGAAATTAATTAGTTATCACCCTTTAGTCTCATTGGCTGCCTGTGTGGGGCCTGTTGGCCTCAGATGCTAGAGCTTCTGTGAATAATGTGCTGACTGGGCTAGTCCCTTAAATTGTCAGTGAACGGAGCAGCTGGAGGGCACCGGGCCCCACCGGGCAGAGCTGAGGATTGAAATGGGTTATAACAAAATATCACAAAAAATATTGCAAAATTATTTACTTTACTTGTATCAAAGAGAACTGTTGCTGAGCTAGCGCCATGAGCGTCCCTGGACGGTGTGTGCGCTCTATAAGTTTACACTATTATTATTATTATTATTATTATAGTATAAGTAGTAGTAGTAGTAGTAGTAGTAGTAGTAGTAGTAGTAATAGTGGTATTAGAGGTAGTAGTAGTAGTAGTAGTAGTAGTATGGTAGTGGTAGTGGTAGTAGTAGAAGTTGCAGTGGTAGTGGTGGTAGCAGTAGTAGTAGTAGTAGTAGTAGTAGTAGTAGTAGTATATAGTAGAAGTATAGTAGTAGTTGCAGTGGTAGTGGTGGTAGTAGTAATAGTAGTAGTAGTAGTAGTAGTAGTAGTAGTAGTAGTAGTTGTATAAGAAGGAGTATCATCATTTTTGTTATCATTATTATTATTACCATTCTCATCTTTTTTAATGATTGTCAATATTACATTTATTATTGCCATCATGATTATCATCGTTCTCATCATAAGTAACATCATTATAATTTTTATCATTTTTGTTATTATTATACAATTTCAATTTCTCAAAATCTAGTCATCAGCGGTCATACACGTCACCACTGGGTCGTAATTGGGAATGATAAGGAGTGATTATGGATGCCAGTCCTTTGTGATCATGTTAAAAAGTATCACAGATATATCAACCTTCATATTAAAAGAAGAACCTTGACTAATCTTTTCACCTTCTAAACTATAGCACCTGCTTTACTTGATCGCCATGACAACCGATGTACACTTTCCTTGCATTCCTTCTTCTTGTCAGTAAATCGGAAGCATTTTAAGCGTTCTTCGCATCTTTTTTGTTCCTCTTTGAGTTATTGTGCACTTTCACCTGCCACTCTTCTTCTTTATCTCTCTCTCTCTCTCTCTCTCTCTCTCCCTCTTATTATCTCTTTCTCTCACCCTCTCTTGCTCTTTCTCTCTCTTTCTCTATCTATTTATCTCTCTGTCTCTCTCTTGCTCTCTCTCTCTCTCTCTCTCTCTCTCATACCCCTCTTCCCCGTCATCTTCATTCTTATAACTACTACCCTCTAACTCGTTCATTATTTAAAAAAAAAATTGTGTGGAGAAAGAGGAGGAGGAAAACTTTGAGAAGGGTGGAGAAGAAAAAAATGGGGAGAATAAGGAAGACAAAGATGAGAAGGGGTAGAGGCTTTTTAGAGACTTTTGCTCAAACTTTCACTGACCTGTTACTCTCATTTTTCTACTTCTATCAAAACCAAAATCAGGGTAGACGACCCCTTTAAATGCGAAAGAATTTAGGTGTGATTCATCGTCTGAGGACGAGGACAACATAATGAAAATATGTCAAGAAGAGCTTCTCACAAAGCGTGTCTGTCAAGACCCTATAGTATCGCCCTGAAGATCAATCAATCAATACCAGTTATTGTACAAACTTCCACACTACCCTAGAAGGTATGCTGAAAACGACACCTCTTTGGAATAATACTGTCTTGATCCATATTGATCGCTAAGATTATCATCCATTCTTATCAGTATCGCCGTGACCTTTGTACCATCGATTAAGATTGAGCGATAGAGGGCGGGCTATTGTGATGACCCAGGCAGTGTATGAAGCAAAGTTGGTTGTACAACACAGCCTCCTGCGACATGCTCCTTCCTCACATCAGGCCTAGACCCAATTGTAATCCTCACCCTAAGATAACCTTTAAAAAAAAAAATTGCAACCCTACCCTAACATATACTTTTGACGAAATAAAGCCCGGAGCTATTGTTGCCAAAGCAAATGTAGCGAATCTTTGTAGGTGCCCCGTTTTCCCTAAAGATGCCCTTTTCTTGAGAAGCACATGAATGTAGGCCTAACCGATGTCAGGCTAATAGTTGACTTTGGGGGAAATGGTAATTCCTTGTTTGTTTGTTTTTCTTAATTCACAGGACTTACAAACATGGATTGCGCCCTGGATTCGAAACTGCACACTGTTCAGTAAAGACTGCGGGCTGTGTCACCTGGGAGGATGACGTCACCAAGGAGGTCTCTCGCGATGACGTCAATGGGCATACATTACGACTGTGATTATGACGTAGCGATGAATCAGCCAATCACGGGCAGCGTCCTAGATAGAGACTACATGCGCATCAATGTGTATCCTCCGCCTCTCCATAAAGGCCATGCGCGCACCGAGTCTGAAAACCGCGGCAAGTTTTACATCCCTCAGAGCGACACAGAATGGATTCAGATGGTGAATAATTTTAACAACGGACAGCAAGAGATGTACTATCCTGCGAGAAGTGTATACCAAAAACCTTCAGGCCCTAAACCCGTCCGCTCCATCAGCGCAAACTCCTACTTTGACCCATTCAATCTGCGCACGGACGTATCGGGTAGCATCGCGCGCGATGAGATTAATGAGATGACGCGCGTGCAGATGCAGCGCGCGTATCAACGCGCGTGCGGTAAATCTATCACAGGTGGTAGATATCGGGAGCCACCGTCGAAGGACTTACGGGAATTCCCCGGCGAACGCCACGAGTCTCCCACTCTAAGGACGCGCACTATACCCCTCACTCCGCGAACAGCCAAATCTTTCATCTCGGACAACACTTCAGGATACTGCACCAACGAAGAAGAGAATCGGACATCGCAATCTCCAGCGCAACAGGGAAAACAAAAACCCGTACTTCCGAACCTCTCATCGTCGTCGAAGTTGCCAGGTAACTTACCATCAAGAAGAGAAGCATGGTACAGCGCCCCCTTCCGTCCAAAAATCGTCAAGCAGTCACCACCGTGGCGATCTCTTATGAACAGACGCCCTCAAGGGGTGAGAGCAGGTGAAGGTCAGCTATGCCCAAAGTATTGCAGGTGCTGTTTTGAGGATACTTACGATTCCAACAACAAGAACGTTTTCAAGATCGACCTGAAGTAGACTGGAGAGATAAGTGAGCTAGCTAATCCCTTATAAAAAAAAAATACCATGGTAACCATGGTCTTGTGTCCAAATTACCATCCACCATGGGAACCATGGTATCAAACAATGAAATTCATTGTTTGATGACCCTATGTTTATCATTGTTTGATACCATGGTTACCATGGTTACCATGGTGGATGGTAATTTGGACAAAAAAACATGGTTACCATGGTACTTTTTTGTAAGCCGTGGTATAATTTAAGTGTACCCATCACCATCATGCTCGATGTTAAAGTTCCATAATTATGTCGCTATAAACATATTCACAATATGAGCTTCAAATATAACTTCTTCAAAGAGATATTGCAATTTAAATACAAACTCAGTAATCATAATTATTAAAAAAGATTTTTTGAGTATACTCATTATATAAAGATAGTCGACGCAAGAGTAATATAAGTTTGCACAGAACAGATCCGTGAGGCGCGCCTAAAGCGTCACACATGGAACCAAGGTTTGACTTGGGTTTGAAAACTCTAATATTAGAAGAATGGCTTGATAGCTTTGAGGTGTGGGTCGTGTGGTTTTCAACCCTACTCACCTCTTGGCTTTTGATCAAAACGAAGCCGAGTGCAGAATCAGTAGGCTATGTCATATTTTTAAGAATGTGAGAATTTCAAATGTCTATATTATAGATTGGAGTGTGGAGAATTAGCGCATCTGATTTTCAACGCTACTCTTTTCTTGGTGTTTCGGCATAATGAAAAAAAGCATCAAGGGAGCTAGGTAAAGGAAAATTGTTATCCAATTATCACATTATTTTATGATAATGTGATGACTTTTTAAAGTCTTTTAAGATTTAAAGTAGGCATGCGGGGTTTAGGGATTTTATGAGCATAATAGATTCAGCGCCTGTGGTTAAACACTGCCCAATATGTTTAGGCATAAAGCACCAAGAAAGCCGAGTAAAGATTCAATGTATAATTTTAAAATGTGAGAATTTCAACTGTCTATACACTATAGATAAATAGTTTAGAGTAGGTAGAATTACGCATGAGGTTTTCAACGCTACTCTTTTCTTGATATTTCAAGGGAGTCGAGTAAAGAATAATATATATTTTTTTTTATCAATAACACATTATTTCAAGAGGATGTGATGACTTAAAGTCTTTTTTAGATTTAGAATATACTTGCATAACGGTGGTTTAGGGGATTTGTGAGAACGTGTTTTGAAGATTAGGAGTGTAGAAATAGCGCATTTTGTTTCGACAAAAAAAGCACCAAGGGAGCTGAGTAAAGAAGAATTGTTATCAATATCATTTTTATGAGAATGCGATGATTTGTCTCTTTAGATTTAGAGATAGACATGCATGGTGGGGGTAAATTTTTGAGAATGTGTACTGAAGATTAGGAGTGTAGAAAATTGCCTGTGGTTTTAAACACTACTTAGTGTGATTGAGCGAAATGCACCAAGAATGCCGAGTAAAAGAGATTTATTTTTTAGAATTTGATCATTTTAGAGTCTTTATTATAGATAAACAGATTACGGGTGTAGAAATAGCACATGAGGTTTTTGACGTTACTCTCTTTTCTTGGTGTATTTCTGTAATTATCTTGATGTGTCTTTAAGCAGTCACCACGCTTATTTTCATTCAAACCTAATAAACACTTACAGCAACCAATATTATACATGTATTAAAAATAGACTTTAAAGGTAAAGACCAGTTATGGTCGTGCGATTGCATTGTGGAAGAAACGTTGTGGAATCGATCAGAAAAGGTTGATCATCTAGCATCTAGCATCTGCAAGGTTCTGGAATCATCAAAATGATAAGAAATTTGGCCCATTCTTCGTAAAGTTACAAGCACTATACACAGAAAGATGTATATGGGACTACTCTATATCTCTCACAGACCATGAGAGAAACAAATTTACCAAATATATGAATTAGTAGGCGGTTTCCCGGCAAATTTGTTATCATCATGTATTAGTCAAAACATATTCTTTCACATGATTGGTAATGAGAGCTTCCATTTCATTTTTTGACATTGGGGCGTTTCCAATACTGGTCTTTACCTTTAAGCTACAGAAGGCTCTCCATTGTCCAATCGTTGTGTTCTAGTTGTCTTAGGAGTGTTTTACAAAGACTAAGATCGACTTGAAGTTGGACTGAACTAAGACAGCGCGTTCATGCCCATGTTGCTCTCACCTTTATGATCTTTAATTAGATAATATTTTTTCCTTCAATAATGAATTATCAACAAAATAAGGTAAGTTCTGTAGATTTGTGACGATGATTTGTACGTCCCTTGAGAGACCAGTACCAGTAAATGGTGAGAGCAGAAAATGGCATAAACGGCCTACCATCGTTAAGTCCAACTTAAGGTCGATCTTAGTCTTTGTGAAACACCCCCCTGAAAGTATTAAATGATACTAATTATGATAGTTATGATAGGGAATCTGAATAACGAGCTTTTATTTCTATATTTTCCTCAACTATACAACATCATTTATTTACTTATCGCTACAGGATAATTCTTTAAGGAATTTATGACCAGATTTTGTATCTTTCTTAATTGTTGGTCTTTCAGTTTCAGTTTCAGTTTTATTTTTCATTTCCAACAGAACAGTTATTTTGACATGAAATCAGATAAACAATATATGTTTTGTAATTACTTGTAAAGTATATGTACATTTTATTGCTGTTACCGTGGAAATAAATAAATGAAATGAAAACATGATTTTAAATAAACGCCACGAAAGCCGCCGAGTCACATAATTATAATGGACCTAGTTACGGTGAAATCCGATGTTTTGAAAATGATACGTTTTGTTGTTGTTTTGTTTCTTATTTGTCGTGCTCGCAAATAATTTAGATTCAACAGGCTGAAGTTCGTCCCATCAAAAGTCTCAAATGTCCACTCGAACATTACAACCGCTCGTTACGTAATCCGACATCATTTCTAGAATGGGATACGCATCAGCATGTTGAAATCCTTCACTTGAGCTCCCTTTTCAAATATCTTTGCAATCGTCTTTTGAAGGTGGCAAAATATAGTTATAAGCTAAATGAACATAATTATTCATGTTTCAAGAGTATGGACTAAGAGGGCGCAGTAGCAATTCGGACTTTCATCAGCATGATCATGACTTTGTGATGTTTCATTTGTCTGAGTGCAGATTTGAACATGACGAATGTTATTACTCAGATTGTCGGGGCAAAGGTTACCCCATGTCCGTTGGACAAATTCGCGCGAAATACAATTATGTTGTGCATGTGTTTATTACATGTTATGGTTTATTTATAACGAAAACACATATGTCATATCATAATAGCGTTGAGAACTTCGGGGGTACCAGGATTTTGAAAGGCGCTACAACCTTTGTAAGATGCTCTTTTGTAGATTATGAAAGCAGGGGAAAATATTAAAATGAAATACATGTATTTACCAATAATAAGTTTGCAGTCTCCTATCTTTTATGGACGTACTAGTTGCGAACTTGCGATTAATATCAACTCTTTGTAAGACCCCTGATATGCCCCTTTTTTTCTTCTTATACTGAGGACCCCGTATTATAAAAGAGATGCGATTTGTGACATATAATTTTTTATTAATATCAACCGCAACCAGTGACTTTGGTGGTGGTGGTGGTGGTTATTTTACCTGACTGCTAAGAAAGCATAAATGCTTGTAAGTAAGCAACCAGACGGCTGACGGCTTTAGGTCCTCTCCGAGGGACCTGGTAATGAAGATTAATGCCTTACCAAAGGGCACAGCAACTGTACTACTAATATTTGTGTATGAGGGCAATTCAACTTGGAGTGAGTTATCAAAGCGCTCGACAAAAGAAATATACATACAGACAATCAATACAAAATATTGAATTTCGCACTACATGACTGTGTAATGTATAGTTAGGGAATCATACATACATTGAGCGTTGAGAAAAACCAAAATAATTTGTATCTCTCTATGAATAATGTACATAAAGAGATATGGGATGCGATTGATCATAATTGCAAATTCAGTCGGAAATTTTTTTATAAGACGGGGCCCAGGTGTCAAGAATTTCCCGGTTATAATTGTTATGATGGATATATTGTAAGGATTTTTTTCTATTACCATTTAAAAAAAGTATTTTGTGTGTATAATGTGTGTGTATCATTTGCCATATCGATTTGTGTAGTACATGTATTATAATATTTTCATGACTAGAGTCTATATTGTATTTTGTTATGTAATTTAAAACATGTCAAGATATGTAAAATAAACTTATGCACACTGGAACCAAGGGAGATATTGTATCTCTTTGCTGGAACTACCATGTTGTATGGCTCTTTATCTTAATTTAAAATCACTGATTAATTTGGAATAGCCCTTTGTTGCCTCTTACACCGAATAATCCATTACATGTACATATTGTTGCTATTATGTTAACTTTCCCAGGAATTTACATGTTATGTTCATTTCTTAATGTTATTTGTTCAGTTTTGTTAGTAATACTTTTAATTCTTGGTAACTCAAGTAATGTTAATCCCATTAGGAATATTGACTTTTCTTGAAGTAATCTTGATTAATGTACAGCGCTTTGAAATTTCTGTCACAAGCGCTATATATCATTTTTTTAATTCTTATTATTATGGTAATACGTAGCACAAATATTTCAATATTAATTTTGTCCATATGAATAAATAAATAAATACAACTCTTTTTAAAGATTTAGTATAATGATAGGACCACAATTCAGATCGGTTCATGAATGAAATCCTAGTAATTTGATTTTGAAATTATGTGACCACCTGAAACTTTTCTAGTGTAGCATTTGAAAAAATATTTGAGTCGTGCCAGGGTACCTCCCTGGTCGTGCTGCTTATTTCCCTTTGTTCATATTTCATAGCCCAGCTGCATGCTTTGAAAAGCCGCCATACATTTTTGGTGAAAGGCGAGTGAATTCACGTCCCGTGAGTGCATATCTGCAATGCACAATAATTTATTGTTTATAATATTTGATTGAATACGTTTTTATTTTCAGAATTTGAGTAGTGCATGTATGTTAATTATTCCTAGCCCACAGTGAGAGCCAGTTGGGTAACTTTTAAGTTCATCTAGAAAAGTGAAATTGATCATGCACACCAACATTTTTAAGGTTTTGGTATTCCATAATTTAATCATACCGATGTACATAATAACTAATGCAAGTGGCTATCTATATTCTAAGCAAATTAGATAGATGATAAAGACAAGAAGAAATTGATTACAATAAACTAAAGTAACTCAAGTACCATTAAAATATTTAAACATAATTAGAGTGCATCTGCCGTTTCTTTCTTGGAAATTTGGTGGCTCTTAAAAGAGCCGTTGTTGGATTGCTCCGAAGAGGATTCAACCCATTTACTTGGAGGCCTTGGAGGTCTTCTTGGGCAGAAGGACAGCCTGGATGTTGGGGAGGACACCACCTTGAGCGATGGTAACTCCGCTGAGCAGCTTGTTCAACTCCTCGTCGTTACGGACAGCCAGCTGCAAGTGACGGGGGATGATACGTGTCTTCTTGTTGTCGCGGGCGGCGTTGCCAGCCAGCTCGAGGATCTCAGCTGCCAGGTACTCGAGCACGGCAGCTAGGTAGACTGGGGCACCAGCACCGACACGCTGGGCATAGTTCCCCTTGCGAAGGAATCGGTGGACACGACCGACTGGGAACTGAAGTCCTGCACGGGCAGATCGGCTCTTGGCCTTAGCACGGGCCTTTCCTGCTCCTTTACCACGTCCAGACATGATGATTTGAAAGATTTGGTTATGCTATGGCAAGTAAGATGAGAATCGCTGTATGCTTCCAAATTGGTGCGAGCTAGGGATTTATACGTCTGTGGAGGATCGAAACGCACAGCGAGGATCCAACGGGAGCCAATCAGATGCGGGGCCGATGAGTAACGGCAAGCGAACACACTATTATTTGCATATACGTGCGAGTGTACGCACATGCTTTTGCACGGGTGTATGCAAATGTGTCGCCCGAACAGCGGGGGCCCTGCGTATTTACGTAGAGCGCTCTGTGTGATTGGTGGCTCAGGCGTGCATTCGGACCTCATGAATAATGAATTAATTCAGGGGGCCGTCGTTCTCTCGTACACAGAGCGAAACCGCGCTGAATGGCTTGCAGTGATTGGTGTTTCTCGCGTGCAGTCGGACTAATTTTCATAAACGTATAACCGCTGGATCCTCGCTCGCTGTATAAATAGAAGTGGATTCGCTTGGCAGTTCATTCTCATCGTTTACTTCGTAGAGATACTCATCATGCCTGCCAAAGCACAAGCCGCCGGAAAGAAGGGATCGAAGAAGGCTAAGGCCCCCAGGCCTAGCGGAGACAAGAAGAGGAGACGAAAGAGGAAGGAAAGCTACGGAATCTACATCTACAAGGTTCTGAAGCAGGTTCATCCCGACACTGGTATCTCCAGCCGTGCCATGTCCATCATGAACAGCTTCGTCAACGATGTCTTCGAGCGCATCGCCGCCGAGGCTTCCCGCCTTGCCCACTACAACAAGAAGTCCACCATCACCAGTCGTGAGGTCCAGACCGCTGTCAGACTCCTCCTCCCCGGAGAGCTGGCCAAGCATGCCGTCTCTGAGGGCACCAAGGCTGTCACCAAGTACACCACCTCCAAGTAAATTGAAACTTTCGTTTCATTTGCCACAAACGGTCCTTATAAGGACCACCAAAACTTCAAGAAAGAATCAAATGACACAACTCTTTCCCTCGATTGTTCGATTTTCTAAAATCTTTTTGGTTCTTAAAGTTATTCGCTTATGAAAGGTGTAGAAGCATTACGTTTAATATGATATAATTATGCCTATGCTTACGAATTAGTGAAAAAGTCGAGGTGAACGTAAATGCAAAATATAAAGCTTCTGAAAATAATTGGGTTGATGATTGAATTGAACACCAAACATCTATACAATGTCCAAATTATGATTTCTCGAGTAGAAAAGAAATATGATATTGAAAACCTAACGGTAAAGCAAACTTAAATTTGGTTTGAAAAAGTTTTACAATGGGAAACAAATTATTCCTACAGTATACACGGGAGCTATACCGTCTATTCGAGGATACATTTTCCAAAAGAATACCAGCTTCCATGATATTTCTCAAGTTTGATAGACTGCTGTAGTATACAGTTGTCATATAACTGGGACATTTCATATTATTGTTGTATAGATGGGCGTTTCATATTTAGTTGTATAAATGGGACACATCTTGTAATTGTTATACAAATGAGAAATTTCATATAGTTGTATAAATAGACGTTTCATTGTTATATTCATGGGACGTTTCATTCATAATATACACCGGCTGTTTGGAAATAACGTTCCACCATGGACCTAACACAAACAAAAAGTTAGAAAGAAATAAATGGAACATTGTCCGTTTGAGAAAAAGAGCGCGAAATAATGGTATCACGACAAAGGTCACAGTACAAAGATGAATGTACAACATTGACAAGTACATCGTGAAGAGGTTGTAATAGGTAATGCGTGGTACAAGAGGGAGAGAGGATTGAGTAGAGGAAGAGAAAGATTCATATTTAAATTCCGAAAATGTTTTTGTTTGTAAGCAATGTTTAGATGTTATCATGGTACATGTATAGTTCCTTTCATTTTTTTAAATTTGTGTATATTTCTAGAGTATTGTGTATGATTTTTCTTAATTTGTAGGATGTTTTTAGTATTTTAAATTCTGTAAATTCATTTGTGATTTAGCCTTTGGCTACAGTGACACTATGAACATGACGGACAATATGCATGTGACACCTGTTCTACACATTTTTACATAATAGCCATGAGGGGATGTTCCTTTGTCTACCACATCAATTGTTGAGGGTAGAATGAGGAACTGTATATTTTGTCCTCTTTGTCCGTGATGTTCATAGTGTGAGTGAATAAAATACCTTGAATTGAATTGAAATTGAATTGAATGATAGAACGAGAGGGAATAGAGAATAAGGAAGAGGAATAGATGGGCCGGATAGAGAGAAAAGGCCGAGCTGGGGGAAAAAAGAGTATGGGAGAAGTGCAAGGGAGCCATGGATAATGGTGAAACGGACACGAGTACACTCTCTCCTCCTCTTTTCCTGTATGTCTTCTGTATATCTTTCAATCCTATCTCCATTTCTTATCTTTTCTGCCATACATCTAGAACACAGATCTTATCTCCCAAAGCATTTTTCGATCATTTGACCATAAACAAACTACTACCAGGGAGATGTGAGTTTTAACAGCTAACATTTACCCGTTTACTGTACTGATGAACATAGACCTCTAGTTTTTGCAAGCCCCAAATTTGACTATCACATTTATCTGACTATTACTTCATTAATCCAACAATTATTTTTTAATATTCAGAGGCGGTTTTTTAGTGCCCCCACACTTTTTCAGGTACCCCTAAAGTGTCCCCTTTTTACATAGGCAGGGGAAGTGGTCCTTTTCCTTTCTGATAAATGCCCATTTTTTAAATTTTTTTTTTTTTATAAGAGCCGCTTTCCCTTCTCAAAAATGCCCCTTCTGACACCTCTGATAGATGCGGGAAATCTCATAGGTGCCCCCTTTTCATCTCAGGAGAGTGCCCCTATCGGTTTTTTAGTCCCCCCACACTTTTTCAGGTACCCCTAAAGTGTCCCCTTTTTACATAGGCAGGGGAAGTGGTCCTTTTCCTTTCTGATAAATGCCCATTTTTTTTAATTTTTCTTTTTATAAGAGCCGCTTTCCCTTCTCAAAAATGCCCCTTCTGACACCTCTGATAGATGCGGGAAATCTCATAGGTCCCCCTTTTCATCTCAGGAGAGTGCCCCCATTCATCTCAGATAAAAGCCCCTTATTATATGTAATAGGTGTCCGTTCCACATTCTTTTAAGTGCCTCTTAGCACCTCTGATGAGTGCCCCCTTAGCCTATGATAATTGCCCCTATTCAAGTCTGAGAGGTGCTCTTTTTATTTTAACAAGTGCCTTTTTCTTTTGTAATAAGTGCCCCTTCCCCTTCTGATAAGTGCCCCTTTTCATCTATGACGAGTGCCACTTTTCACCTCTGATAAACGCCCCTTTTTATTTTAACACGTGCCCCCTTTTCCTTTCTAATAAGTGCCCCTTTTCCTTCTGATTAATGCACTTTTTCTTTTTTTAATATGAGCCACTTCCCCCTTCTCATAAATGCCCCTGACACCTCAGATAGATGCCTCTATTAAACTCCCTTAAGTGCCCCCTTTTCATTTCAGGTGAGTGCCTCAGGCATTTCAGGAACTAGGAGTACCCCTTACCACCTCTGATAAGTGCCCCTTCACCTCTTATAATTGCCTCTTTTCAAATATGAGAGGTGTCCCCTAGATTTTGACAAGTGCCTCTTTTCCTTAGTTTGTGTGCCCTCTTTTCTTTCTTATAAGTGCCCATTTTCATCTCCGATGAGTGCCCTTATTCAAATTTGAGAGGTACCTCATTTGTCTCTGTAATAAGTGCCCCTTTGACTCTGTAATAAGTGCTCCTTTTCATCTCTGATATGGGCCCCTTTTATTTTGACACGTGCCCCTTATCCTTTCTAATTAGTGCCATTTCCCTTCTGATAATTGCCTTTTCCCCTTTGTAATAAGTGCCCATTTTCCAATGTCATAAGTGCCTTTTTCATCTCTGGTGATAGAGTGCCCCTTATTGTTGCGAGAAGTGCCCATCACACCCATGTACAAAGTACATGATCACGTACAGAAAAAACAACAACATTGAAATCATACCTGATAATATAATCACAATGTAGGGGTAAGACGCTTTGCCGCCCCTGCTATTAATATTATTATCATTATCCTTTATCATCACTATCATTATTGCTTTAACAATGTTGCAATCCTGAATCCACCTTTCGGCTGCCCACCTTTCATATCAGTTTGGTTTATTCCATTCTTCATGCTCTATTATTAAACTTTTAAATCTACATCAGTAGAGTATATATACTGTATAATACAATCTGTAATCGCTATATCGAAATAAGCCCCTTCTCTTTTTATTTCATCTCTCTTCCTCCTCCGGTCGATCGTGCGTTTACAAAATAATTGCATTAGCGCCATCTATTGTTCAACTAAGATAAAGAGGCGGATCTCTCGCACACATCATAACAAAACAAACTTTCTGCCTTCTACTTCTAGCTGACGTCGAAACTTTCTCTACATGTAAGTACCATCATTGAACTTGTGTTAGTTGAGCTCTAAACATATTGTCATGAAGGCTTATTGGCACCGGCTTATTAGTTTCTAATGAGACATGTAAAGTGTCATGTCGAAAATATATGAAGTGATAAACATTGTCTCCCTGTCTGGTGTGCGAAGATAGTCGTTCACTCTCGCCTTGGTCCCATTCGTCGGATTCCGTGTTTGGTTTGCTCCGACACTAGGCCCCTACCTAAAATTTCAACAATCTCATCTTTTTTTGTCCTTAGGCCTCGATGAATATGGACGGAGCCCCGAACCACTTTCTGGCTCCTAACCTAGCATACCAAGGTTTAAAGGCTAGCAGCGATCCAGGACCTCTTAATAAAATTGGAGATGATCAGGACGATGATCATCAGAAACGGAGTCGGAGCCGGAAAGAGAGTGTGACCGAAAATGATAACGATGGAGCATGCAGCAATTGCAATGATAAAACAGAGAGGTAAGTAGGTCATGGAACATGTTGAGATATTGGCTTTCAACAGACAAAAGGGGACAACATTTTTGTTAAGTATCCAAGGATTGAAGGAGGCTGATGAATATAAAAAAAGAAGAGGAAAAAGAAGGATGGAAAAAAGACAAGAAGAAGGAGGTGGAGAAGGAAAAGGAGGAGAAGCTTAAAAGAAAGAAAGGAGGAAAAAGTGAGAAAAGAAAAATAAATACAAAAAGAAATTAAGAAAATGAAAAGGGAATGGAAGAAAAAGAAAAAGAGGAACAAGAAATCAAGAAACCCTATCATGGAACCCCTATCTTTCAGTAACATGATTTTTCAAAATTTGAGGCATTCTGGATATTTTTTTTTATTATTGATATTATTTCATTTTTTTATGTTGCCCAAGGGAACCAGTGACCAATGGCACTCAAACTCTCAAAGCCCTATAGGGACAACTTTTAAATAACTGTTGCTTTTGGGCAGGTTTGGATCTAGGACTCTCTTAAGGAGAGGGGTGGGGGGGGGGTGTCAATTCTGAAAGATCTACATGTAGATGGCAATCCAAAAAACAGGGTTATCATATTTTCAGATTTACAGTTTGAAAGGATGACATTCAATGATTCAAGGTTGTAGTAGACTTGATACAAAAAAACTAAAAAAACACATTGGACTACATTAAGAGGTACACCTGTAGGCCTGGCATGCATGCTAAAGTCGTTTAAAAATTAATTAGGATTCAGAATTATAAACAAAACATCCACCCATATCCACACATACATGTAGGAGCATCACTTTCCTGGCTGTGTAGTAAAAGCTGTGCTTTTGATTCTCAACATTTCAAACACCACTGTACAAAACTCAACTGATTTCACTCAAAATCGGTGACAATTGATGAAACCTAAATAGCACTAAAATACATTTTTTTTAACTTACTGATGTTAAAAAGAATAATTTAACTCTTTGTTTGCTTTGTTCGCCGATTTGCACGGACGTAGGCGTGCCAACTTCGCATTTTTGCACAGATGTATACGAGTCAATTAGACATTCATAATACCGCTCGCAGTGTGTAGCCACGCGTTGCGTTTACTATTGTTTACATTGTATACATCGCACACTTTCCGGTAAACTGTTTTTCTTCATAGTGTTACATTCGAAATTACCGTGTATTTAGCGGTTTTCTTTGGATTTTTTTTACTGATGTTACGATGGCACCTGCTGGAAAACGTCGACGTGTGTTTAGTGTAGAGGAGGCTCGAGATCTTGTTACTATGGAAGCATGGAGCATGGACTCTGATTCCGACGAATCGAGCAGTGACGAAGACTCTAGTGATAAAAGTGTTCCCTGAGAGTAGACTGATAGAATAAGAATGAATAAAAATTAATGAAAGAGCTAGAGATGACAGCAAGAAAGAGAGTAGACTGATAGAATAAGAATGAATAAAAAAAATGAAAGAAGGAGATAGAGATGACAGCAAGAAAGAGAGTAGACAGTGATAGAATAAGAATGAATAAAAAATAATGAAAGAAAGAGATAGAGATGACAGCAAGAAAGAGAGTAGACTGATAGAATAAGAATGAATAAAAATTAATGAAAGAGCTAGAGATGACAGCAAGAAAGAGAGTAGACAGTGATAGAATAAGAATGAATAAAACTAATGAAAGAAAGATGTATCCTGTCTTGCCGTCATCTTTATATCTTTCTTTTATTATCTTTATTCATTCTTATGCTATCAGTGTTTACTCTCTTTCTTTCCGTCATCTCTATCTTATTATTATTATCATTTTCCTATCTATATGTACCCTATGTCTTGCCGTCATCTGTATATCTTTTTCTTATTATCTTTATTCATTATTATGCTATGAGTGTAATACTCTCTTTCTTGCCGTCATCTCTATCTCATTATTATTATCATTTTCCTATCTATATGTACCCTATGTCTTGCCGTCATCTCTATATCTTTCTCTTATTATCTTTATTCATTCTTATGCTATCAGTGTTTACTCTCTTTCTTTCCGTCATCTCTATCTTATTATTATTATCATTTTCCTATCTATAATTATGTACCCTATGTCTTGCCGTCATCTCTATATCTTTCTCTTATTATCTTTATTCATTCTTATGCTATCAGTGTTTACTCTCTTTCTTGCCGTCATCTCTATCTTATTATTATTATCATTTTCCTATCTATATGTACCCTATGTCTTGCCGTCATCTGTATATCTTTCTCTTATTATCTTTATTCATTCTTATGCTATCAGTGTTTACTCTCTTTCTTGCCGTCATCTCTATCTTATTATTATTATTATTTTCCTATCAATATGTATCCTATGTCTTGCCGTCATCTCTATATATTTCTCTTATTATCTTTATTCATTCTTGTGCTATCAGTGTTTACTCTCTTTCTTTCCGTCATCTCTATCTTTTTATTATTATCATTTTCCTATCTATATGTACCCTATGTCTTGCCGTCATCTCTATATCTTTCTCTTATTATCTTTATTCATTCTTATGCTATCAGTGTTTACTCTCTTTCTTTCCGTCATCTCTATCTTATTATTATTATCATTTTCCTATCTATATGTACCCTATGTCTTGCCGTCATCTCTATATCTTTCTCTTATTATCTTTATTCATTCTTATGCTATCAGTGTTTACTCTCTTTCTTTCCGTCATCTCTATCTCATTATTATTGTTATTTTCGTATCAATATGTATCCTGTCTTGCCGTCATCTTTATCTCTTTCTCTTATAATCTTTATTCACAGTAAAGTCCTTTCATTTCATATCACTATTTCTCTCTCATAATGTCTCTCACGTCCGTTCTCCATATTTTATTCATTGCATACTCCACTCGTCAATCATTTCTGATAATAAGCTCTCTCACAATAAAGTAAATGGAAAACAATGCAATATAGTTTATATTTTAAGATTGATTCATTCTTTCTTTGTATATCTATGGCTGTGATAAATGTACTTGAAATCAATTTTATTGAGGGGTAAAGAAGGTGAGAGAACAGATGCGGTGAACATTCATAATGAGACATTTCAATAAGATGCTGATTATGTCATGTATATCACATATAATATATTATGCCTATACCATTTTTACATGCTCATACCAGTGGGCAAAATCAATAACATTCTCTTATTTCTTATTGACTTATCATGGCACAACAAAGAAAAACATCCCCACGACGTCCCTTTTCATGCCCCGCTAAACCGGACATTGACAATAACCTGGGGTAATAGGGATTTCAATGGGCAGATTAGCCCATTGTCAAGGGTGGCTGAGCGGGGTACTTTCAAGTCTCTCCCTATTGAACTTCTTTTCTTCAACAACCTAAATACTAACCTTCTGAATTGTTAGAATACTTGAGCAAGGTATGTAAAGAAAGGTAAGAAGTCCACCTTTCTAATAGATTCGATTTGAAGATGTCTTATCATTGCTAAATAAGAAATTCTAGAGGGATAAAAAACTGCCGTAAATAAGAAAAATTAAACATTATATAATTATGATTATTATAAAAATGATAATTCAAAATATAACAAATGACGGTTCATCGAAAAGCACGTTTTCCGGTCTACAACTTTGCTGCACAATATTTTTCATCATGATCATCCAGTGAAGAGTTATAGCCTCTTGATTCAGCAGAGTCAATAAAGATTCCCTCGAAATGTGTGACCCTAAAAGAATGTGGCACAGGGGGGTTTTTTAAGTGGCGCATAAAGAGTTAAAAATTCAAATTGTAAGTCTAGTGTCAAACTTTGCTTACAGCTGCATTGACAGGATTGTGTAGAGTCTATGCGATATTGTGTGGTGTGTATATTTGTGTATGGGTCTAATAATACCTGCCTCACAGCAAGCATGCAGTGCTAGAGGTCAATATGCATTAGCATCGACTCTCTATGCTTTGCTGGAGTGCCCATATCTAGTTACTGACAGAAACATGTATTGTTTTGCTTCTCAGTGACCTTGATGGTGAACTTGATGATCTTGCCATCAGAGTTGATCCTCCCGACCTCTTACCAGGTCAAAGGTTAAGACTAGACAGTCTAGTTTTAAGGAACTGCTCTGTGGCAGAGGCGCAGGCCCTGGCTTTCCAAAAGCTTCAAGAGGAACTCATGAAGGCAAAGGAGGTGAGTAGATATTTTAACATTTAGGCCTCATTCAGATTTCTTTAACTTATAACTTATGACCTGGGCATTCATGTACACGTTAAATATATTGCGCCTAGTTTTTCCAACATTACAATAATATTGGATTCTTATATAGTGCACGTATCGACCTTGCAGGGTCCTCAAGGCGCTCCAACATTACCTGGCTATGCTAGGCTGCCAATTTCGACTCACACAGCATTTTAAGGAATTCCTTCCTACCGGTACCCAATTAACACCTGGGTGGAGAATGGCAAATGTAGATCAATGTGAACAAGCCTTGAAGTTGCTTTCTCTGATTAAGATGGTGTAATTGGTGATGATGATGATGATGATGATGATAATGATGATGAAGATGGTGATGGTGATGATGGTGATGGTGATGATGATGATGGTGATGGTGACGATGATGGTGATGATGATGGTGATGATGATTATGATGGTGATGATGATGATGATGATGGTGATGAAGATGATGATGATGATGATAATTGTTGATGGTAATAGTTACATACTTTTGTTGATGGTGATGAGAATGGTTAAAAGAAAGGTGATGGTAATGATGATAATGATGGTGATGATGATTATGATGATGATTATGATGAAATGAAGATGATAATGATGAAGGGGATGATGATGATTGTTAATGGTGATGATAATTAAAATGATTTTGATGATGGTGATGAGTCAGATTAGACATATTTATCCCCAACCATATGTTTTAGAATATTTTCCTCCTTCTACAGCCAGGCGGTGATTGTTTCTCTCATTTTTCTCATTTGTTTCACTTGTAACATGAAATTTGAGTGGGTAGTGAACTACACTGTAGTGATCAGTACATGGTGAGCAAGAAAAGAACAAAATAATGATGACAAGGATTGGCGGTATGTCATAATTATCTGACATCTACATGTACATCGATATGTGTGGAAGAATATGTTGCAATTTCCTCATTAAAAACATAAACTATACTAGTGCTGTAGTCAAATGTTTAACCGTCCGGTATCCGACCGCCCATGCCGGATTCCGTTTTCAATTGGACGATTTCCTTTTCCCGTTTTTTAAGAATTTTTTTTTATCATTTTTAATTTTTTTTTTTTTTATATATATATATTTTTTTTAATTTTCGATTTATGCCCCTCCACCTGGCACTATGCCTGGCAATGTCTCCCAGCTCAGTAATCGGTGTGTTGACTCACCACTCGGAAACTAGAACAACACTCCAATTTGTCTGTCATCTTGGTTTGAAAGTAATCTTTGTAATAGATCTCAATATGTACTTTATAATAATAATTCATCCAATTTTTACACATGGCGTACCTCTACTGTTTTTAATTTACATTAATGATCTTACACATTCTTCTAAAAACGACATTGTTACTATTATATGTGACAAGTTCACAAGCACAAATCGGCACCTTCAACCGCACCTCGCAGTTAAATGAAAGACCTTCCCGCTTTTTCACACGGACCTGGCTTGCCGGCAATAATTTTTAATAATTTTTAATCGTTTAACCGAAAACCGTCCGTTTTTGACTGGCGGTTAAACGGAATTGGAGATATCCGTGATGTTACAGCACTAAACTGTACCAGTAATTGATATTTACACTCATGTACTGGTCAAATTCAACTTATTCTAGAGTTGAAGTCTCTAAAACTATTTGGCATGATATTTACAAATGTTGTACTTCCAAAAAATAATATTAAATAAAGACTTTACATGTACATGTATTATTTACATGTATATGTTTTGTTTTACAAAGTTTTAGTCTTAGGAGCAAATTTTCACTATTGGAATCCACTTACAGTGTAGGTCTTACATAGCAGTTACATGTATGCACTCTGTCAGTAACAGTATTACATGCCTTGCTATGCAATGTTAAATTGCATTGATTTATGACTGCTCAAATCCCAATGGCTGAGCGTTTTGTGGTCAGATTTTCCATTTCCTACCAAATTTTGTTTTCCGTTTTAGAATGTGAAAAGCAAACAAATGAAATAAAAGAACATACAGAACAAGATACATGTATGGCAAGACCAAAAAAAAACCAAGCAAAAAATTACAAAGCAATTCAAGTGTCTGAATTTCTAAATTTTCATCCACTATTATTGCAAGAAAGCTCTTTCTGAGTCATGATGAAGATGATAAAAAAAACTATGCAAGTGAAAATTGTGCAGTTTATTGCCATATGAAACGATCCCCATAGTATTTACAGACATTATCATTGTCAGGCTTTGTTGAAATTGCCTTTCAAATTTGTCAGAGGATCAAAACTTAATTACAGGATATGTGCTTTGAGTATTTACAGGATGTAATTAAATGCTTTTAGATTTGTACACATTTCCTTTTAAGTGTCTGAGCTTGGTAATAACCATATGCTTAAATTCTTTACTTCCTCCTAGCTTTAAGGTAGTGAATCCCTTTTGCAGCCAACAAATTCTGTAGAATTTTGCAGGAATTTTGTTTATGTCACGTGTTTCCTATGATCTGTGAAATTTAAACGTAATTAGCAGTGTCCTATTCCATTTTATTAAAATTATGGAAAGAAACTTGTTTACTTTCTAGACTTCACTGTCAGACACTATTTAGCAGGCGCGGATACAGGATTTCTTAGGGGAGGGGGCCCAACTTTTTTTTTTTTTTGCTCCCGAAAATTTGAAAATCGCGCCGGCCGAAAAGTCGCGCTCAGTGGGGGGGGGGGGTACGGAGCACAATTTTTTTTTTTTTTTTTTTTTTTTTGCTCCTGAAAATTTGAAAAACGCGCCGGCCAAAAATTCGCTCAGTGGGGGGGGGGGGGGGGGGGGGGGGGGGGGGGGGTAGTGAGCACATTCTTTTTTTTTTTAACCTCAAAAAAATTTCAATTTGCACCCCCCCCTTGAGCGCCAGGGGGGGGGGGCCCAACCCCCCAAAAAGGTAAAAATCACGTGATTTTACATGATTTTTTTCTCAAGGGGGGGGGGGCCCGGGCCCCCCCCCCCTGGATCCGCCACTGCTATTGAGTTACTGTCATTTTACTGACTGGCTTTTTTCTTCTTTGGTAATAACTACATAATATGAGCTGTAAAGGGTACATGAACATTTGTCTACATCAATAACCCACTTCTTGTAATGGCCAAAATTAAGCTGTGAATCTGTGCACAGCATAAAACGTACAACCATTTAAGGAACAAGGGTCTGACTATTTTCTACAAATAATTTTTGAAATGGTGACTGGTCAATATAATTCTACATAAAGGCAATTACCAGTTCTAATCTTGTCAGGGGAGGTTTTAGTTGGTATTATCTCTTGTCTACCATAGCATAGGATTCATACAACTTTGTATTTTCAGCCTGCAAAAGGGACACACCTTTAAAGAGGAAGTCAACCCTGATTTTAATTTGGTTTTAAATATAGAAGCAGAAAAAATGAGAGGAACAGGTCAGTGAAAGATTGAGCAATATCAGATTAAAAAAAGGAAATTCATGATTTCTTGAAATTGTCATCAGTGAACACGAATTGGCAACACTGGCATATCTTGCAAGGTCCTCTCCAATTTGCTCTGTATGGAAAATCTCATATACATTATGTACATGCACATGTAGAGCCAGTACTGAGCTTTGCAACCTGTACCTAGATAGGATCATAATGAGATGCTATCTCAAGCTACCAGTACTCACAGCCATCTGCAGGCCCTGCTAAACCAATTTAAAATCCACTCTCCGACCTTTTATCCGCTGAGAGCAAAAAGGTCGCTATGTCCTGCCGGCTCACAGCATATGATTAAACTACAGTACATTTCAAATAGTGCGTTCTTAATCTTAGCTCAGTGTACTAGAAACATTTTGTTGGTGCAAGTAAATGTCCTTAGATTGTATATCACACATTTGTATTTTCAAGTTATTACAAAATTGAGGATTTTAAGTAAGGCATCTGTTTATTTTATTTGTTTATTGTTATTTTAATAGTGAGATGGTTTACTTAGTCAGTTAGTTAGTTAGTTAGTTATTTACCTATTCCTTGATATTGTATGTACAGTATTCATTTTCATATTTAAGTATGGTAAGTATTTCATTTATTTGTTTTAATTCATTCATTTGCTGTGATATGTTACAGCTGAATGATAAAGAAGTTGAGCAGTTATCCCACGTAAGAGATTACACAATTTACTGCTAGTTTGATGAATTGGCCTATTGATTAGTTTTTGTGTTTGTCTCTTATATCGGCTTTGATTTTGTTTATGATTCATTTCAGGCTTTACAGAAGGAGGTTGAAGAAGTGTAGCAGTTATTTTGTGTAAGAGAAGAAGGTTGACAGAGAGATCACAGAGTTTTGGCGATTGATTTTTTTTAAATTGTTGTGTTTATTTATGTATTTGCTTATTTTGTTTGTTTACTTATTCAGACGTTACAGCTGAAGGACGAGGAGGTGGAGCAGTTATATTGTGTGAGAGAAGAGGTTTGACAGAGACATCACAGAGTTTGGGCTATTGATTTTTGTATTTGTTTGTTGTGTTTGCTTAAATGTATTTATTTATTTGTTTGTTTTGTTTGTTTACTTATTCAGACGTTACAGCTGAAGGACGAAGAGGTGGAGCAGTTATCTCGTGTGAGGGAGGAGGTAGACAGGGAGATTACGGAACTGACCGCTAGCTTGTTTGAGGTATAGAAAATATCTTCAATTCTTTTTCTTTATTAATTCAATTAAAAAACATTGATTATCAGATGCACAAAACAGATGCACCACAGCCATTGGCTGAATTGTGCATTTTTACCTTGTACTGAAATACACATTAAAACAATGATAATAACATGTGTTCACATAATTTATTCATAGTACATTATACAGTGTCCTTTTCAAATGAGAACATGCAGCTACTGTAATTAATTCTGGTCTTTTAAATTCAGCTACCGGTAATTTATTTTCCATGCAATTAAATCCCAATATAAAATTGTGGATAGTACCCTTAAAAGTAAATTGCTTGTGAGCATGCAGGGTCCCAATTTTACAAAATGATAGTTAAAAATATTGCATAGAATCAGAGTGTGTCTCACAAAATTGTTTTTGTGTCAAATATTAAAATGAAGATAATAATTATAATAATAATACTACAGCATTTGTAATGCGCCATCGATCTAGTAAACTATTCTGAGGTGCAGAGGGAGATTATTACCCTGGCTTTAGCACGGCTGCCATTATGGCGCTCTAGCATTTCAAGGAATTAATTCCTGCCAGGTACCCATTTACATCCCCTGGGTTGAGTGTGGCAAATGTAGATCAATGTCTTGCCAAAGGACATTCGTGCCACGGCGGGACTTGAACCGCGGAGCTTTTGATCGACAGTCCGGCGACGTATCCACTCGACCATGACACCTCTACTGATAAGATGATGCCTTTCTTTGTTACACTCCTTACCATGCAGGAAGCTAATTCGATGGTTCAAGAGGCTAATATCAAGAGAATTGCTGCAGAACGGAGGTTCAAGGAAGCCAACGGCAAGGTAAATGCCTGAGGAAGAATGCTTCCATATACCAGGGGGGTGTTTCACAAAGACTAAGATCGACTTTAAGTTGGACTTAACTATGGCAGGCTGTTCATGCCACTGGTTGCTCTCACCATTGGTCTCTCAATTATGATCTTTAGATAATGTTTTTCTTCAATAATGAATTATCAAGAGATGTAAATTATGTAGATTAGAGACCATGATTTGTATGTCCCTTGAGAGACCAGTGCCAGTAAATGGTGAGAGTAAACAGTGGCATGAACGGCCTGCCATAGTTAAGTCTAACTTAAAATCGATATTAGTCTTTGTGAAACACTCCCCTGGTATTCATCTGTTCTCTTTGTGTAAAGTATTGCAGATTTGATAAAATTTCATGCTGTGTATGTGTAGTGGACTCACGACTGATAAAACATTCATTACCTGGGCCTTGTCTTATAAAGAGTTGCAATTGATCCAAATCAATGGCAAGTCCTCCAATCAATCACAAGTTTGCAGACCCCTATCTCTTGCATGTATGTACATACAGGTATGTACATAGTTGCAATTGATATCAATCACAGATAAGTTGAGATCGATATCATCTCTTCTTTTGGTGGGTAAAATAATGCAACAGTTTCTTTCTGTAAAAATTGCTGCATTTTAAAAGTTGTGAAAGTTACTGTTTTTGCGGTATACCACGACTGCACAAGGTATTCATTCTGTGATCTTTTTTTATGCAGGTGGTCTTTTTATGTACAGGTACATGTTAACACAGGCTTCAAGACAGGACAGTGTTCAAAGGAACAACAAAAGTGATCATGAAGATGGATTTTAGAGTATAATATGGAATGGGGAAGAAACATTGACAGGTTGTCTTTAAGTTCATGTGGAAGTATCTTTCTATGTATTTCTTCCAATGTATTAATGCTTTGCAGGCTGATAAATAAATAAAGTCTCTATCAATGAATCGTCTTTTGTATGAGTGGTTGTCAAAGCAGATTTCATTGCATTTCTTTCATTAGATTGACGCCATGCAGGCTGAGATCGGCGCCCTCAAGATGCTAGTTCTTACGTCCACGCCGAGCATGCTGCTACCTGCCAAGGATACCACCAATAAGAAACCCTCCATCTTGAGAAAGTCCAAAAGTAGTCTACGACTCAGTGTTCAGGGGCACCACAGGTCAGTGGCAAGCAATTCAATTTCAATTGAATTCAATTTCAATTTATTCAGCCAATCATTAAAAACAATTTACATTGACACTGGTACTTGAACAATAATTATAACATGATGACAGGCTATGGACCCCTGAGAAGCAGAGCTTGTAAGTGGGGCCCATTAACATAGAATTAAATACAAATATAATAAAAACATACTATAACAAGCAAAACAAAAAAGAGTTACATGTATATTCATAAATACAAATATCTTGCAAACACTCAGCCATACTCATTCACACACACAAAATGCAATGTACTTTAAAGCATATTATAATATAAGAGAGAGAGAAGAAGAGAGTAGAATATTTAAAAGAAAAAGGAAGAAGAGATAAGACAGGAAAAATGTGAAATATGAGATTAAAACTTATAGTCCTACCCAGTTTTACAAATTAATAAATAGTTCCCTTTTGCACAAAACTTTAAACCTAGACAAAGTTGAACTTTCAAGGGTTCAATGCACTGTATCACCTGTATAAGTACGGTTCATGTCCATGTAGGTGTGATGTACAATGATATTATGGGGAGGGAAATCATAATATGAAGTATCAGTTTGCTATACATAATACAGACATCATTATTTGCACCTCAACTTTACGATGTACATAGTTCAGCTTTTTTATTTGTCTTTGTCATATAAAGACTCTCAGCAAGTAACATATTTATATATATATATATATATATATATATATACATACATATACTGCACACACTGTATCATATTTTGTTAAGCCAACCTTTCCCGTTTCATTATTGATATTGATTATGTATTATTTTGAATGGTTTGCAATTTCATTGAATTCATTTATAATGTATACTTTTTGCTGTATATATTTATGCTATTTTGATTGTACTTTATCATTTAAAAATAGTTGTGATGTATGTTGGGGGCCCTGTTGAAAGCCAAATGGATTAACATAGAATGAAATATCTTTTGTCTTTTGACTTTCTATCGATCCATATTTTTACCGTTCGAACATGTACATGTTTCAATAAAGTCTTCCCCAAACACTGTGAAATGTCTAAACGATGTGAATTGCTTATTTTTAATGTGATTGTTTGTTTTGTTTTGTTTTTCTAGAACACACAGCCTGCAAGATCCAATCACAACTGATCTTGGGGTTTCCCCTGCCCCTAACACCAACGGGTCAGCAACACCGTCACCTAGCTCAGAATCCAAAGAGGTTTGTTTATTGAATCTGAATTTTAAATTGTTAAAATGGATAGTAGCTGCATTTACACTACAATACAAAAATCTTTGATATTTGTTCCGTTGTTTCATCGGAAGTTACTGAGCAACTACGGTCAAACCCGACAAGAAACCCTATTCCATAATAGTCTACTCGTTCGTTCGTTCGTTCGTTCGTGTCTCCTTAAATTAAGATTAATGTAATCTTGATCTTCGGAGTAGTTGCTACAACCGGCCGTGTCAGACACGTTGCCCCGGGGTGCGAGATAGGACTCCTGTAGCGTGCCCCCATTTAAAACAATTATACAATAACGGTTAACATTACATTTAATTAATAGTATGAAACTATTAAAATTACTCTCATGTTACGGGAAAAAACATTGCATATATATATATTATGAATCAATTGATTTGGTCGATCCAGTTCGATGGCACAAACACGTCACTACTGGACAGAGATCCTAATAATTACAGAGCTTGGTCTGTTGCTCTGTACTTATAAGTTGCTTTCATAGTAATTGAAAGTGTATTTAAACTTGCAGTTTCTCTTTATAAAAGTACTATTTGTAGCTCATATTATAGATGTATTGACTGCTATGAGAGGCATCGCTGTTTCTGTAGGCTCTAGGAGATGTAACGTCCCCGAGAGCCAGTATAGGAACAGCTATGCTTCGAATATTAAAGCAGTCGATATATATCTTTTATATACCAAATTCACAAACAAATCTACAAAGAATTCTTACCTTATCGTTTTCTTTAGTAAAGTATGGTTAAAATCTGAGACACTGTCTGTAAATCTTCGCTAGAAAGTTGCCTGAATGTTAAGATCATTCAGGAATTGCAAACACACTGCACTATATTTTGTATCCGCGCTCGCACAAAGAAACTTTTTACACGTGAACCAATGGGTATCTGAGCACAATTTATTGATGCAGCCTGTTACCCTGGGCAAAGGGTATCTTTAAGAAGACTATTGAACGGTAGGCCGGCATGGCTAAAATAACAACTCAAATTTTGACCAATCAGATGGCTAGATTTCTAAAGAGAGGTATATAATTAGAAATATATTATTACCACATAGAACTCCTATCAAACGGACAAAAATAATCTTTTGGTGATTGGTACACTTAAATTCTTTCCCATCTCCATCTACAGGTTGACACCCTACTCCTGCACAACTTCCAGAGTTGGAGAGAAGCGCCCTCGCTTGCTGTCAACAATCCATTCACCCAGAGGATATTCACCGAAGACATCCGACCCTGTCTGACCTTTACCAATGCAGAACTCTCACTCCAGCTTCAGTCAAGCATTGAGAGGAACCACTTATGCATAGAACCCATCAGTATTAAGACTCCAGTACCAAGGTAATTATGGGTCATCAAAATGAGCCCTATGATAGGTTAGTGATATGATTGCAGGGCCCTCAGGGAGAACAGTATGAATACTAATGAGACTACCCAGGGGAAACAAGACATATTATTATTAGTATTACCATTATTATTATTATTATTATGTAGACATGTTTTTTTCAGCTCATATTTTCAAAAGAGACCAGTAAGTTAAACCTTACCCACTTGTCATTGCAATTCTTGTTCTTCTTCTGACTTCAGTGCATTGATACATACATGCATACATGTTTTATTTAAGTAATGAGATAGCCCATATGTACTTGTCTGGTTGGAAAACAGTTTTTAAGATCTCTTTTACAATCAAAGCAGTGGTAAGTTAAGTTATAAGAAATTTGCCAAAATTTAATGTTGTCAAATTCCCTATAAGCGAGAGCCCACTTCTACGTGTCGTTAAAAAACTTGGATGATTGTTTTCTATATAGAGGAAGCAAGTAGCTACAAGTAGTACGGTGGGGCTTTTAGAATAGCATAAAACTGATGCACACGTAACCAAAGTAGGAGGGATTAGACCACCCTGCAAGGTCACTGGACAGGTGGTTATCTCGTCAAATCAGCTCTCAATTAACATAAGAAAAATAGGATCATGGGGGACCAATTTTTTTTAAATTTGGCCTTACAGACGTTGCGCCCTGAGCGAGCAGCAGAGGCCATGTCATTACCGCATCAGACTAACAGAATGTGAGAACTGGCATTCCATATGCGCACCGGTCAGGAATAGGGTAAGTGAAGTCCTAAGGTCAGGTACTAAAAACTGAGAATCATTTTGACAGACTCTAAATTCTCCCTTGATTAAGGAACTTTACTGGTGACCTCTTGAACAATGCATTATTTTTTTTAATCTATGTCGCCAAATTTCTAAATCATGTGGCACCTTAATATGTTAATGACACTCTCCAAATATGAACCGCTACATATATTGAAAAAAACATAAAAATAAACCGAGCCCTCAAGAAGAGCAGCACAATGCTGATGTGGCTTCACTTAGTAAACAATATTTTTCTTATTATTACTGTCAAGATTTTGTTTTGTTGATACAGTCAAACCGTTTTTAGTGACCACCTGTCTACAAAGACTACATTTTTGTTTCCCTTGAAATGGTTTCTCATTCAAACATGCACTAAAGGAACCTGACTACAAAGACCACCTGCCTGCAAAGACCACTTTTTCTGTTTCCTTTGGCCGGTCGCTATAGACAGGTTTGACTGTATTTGTAATTTTCTTCAATTTGTTATCATTACAGATAGCAGCTGTGTGTGATTTCTACACCTATCTACGATATATCCAACAAGGCATTGTCAAGAATGATGGTGAGTTTTCTTATATATATATATTTATATATGTTTGTTTGTTGTTGTTGCTTTTTTGGGGAGGTGTTATGTGAATTAATAATGTACTTACCTCTCTTCTTAAAGGCAGGATATTATACCTCAAATGTATGTACCCTGCAATCTGCTGCTCAATCACCAACTGCAACCTACCCCTCCTTTAGATCTTTCTCTTTCTTCCATTAACATTTATTATCAGATGTTTATAAAGTATTTTCTGATCCCTTAGTCTCCCCTGCTATTTATTTGTGACTTTCTTTCACCACTCCATAATGTGTTGAATTCCCAACCCATGCATGACGATGATAAATACTATCTTCTTTTGGTATTGTTTATTATTGTTATCATTATTATTATTGTTGTTGTTTTTGTTGTTGTCTTCTTCCCTACCCCTCTTTTAGATCTTTGTCTTTGTTGTTATTGTTATTATTGTCATCATCATAATCATCATAATCATTAATATAATGACTTTTACTATCTTGCAGTGGAAAAGAATTACTGGGAGATCATTCGCCTACGGAAGCAGATGGCGCTGGCCAAGCTAGGTCTGGCATGAAAGTACTCTGTGTTTCTCCTCCCGTCCTGAGAACCTTTCCTGAAATCACCCCACCTGTCATCGTTGTCATCTCAGTGATATAAACTTATGCTGCTTGTAGTGAGTGAGTTACACGTATTGGACCGGGTCGACGCCCGATAGTACTGATACCTCTGTCACACTAACCTACTGACCACAGACCAAACAAACAATGACATAACCCCGAATGGTCAAATAGTGGTCAGTTTGGGGCCGGAGTGTCATTGGACCGGGACCTCGCCCGATAGTACTGATACCTCTGTCACACCATGGAATGGATCATGGTCACACCAACACAACCGATACCAGACTGACCATAGACCGAACAAACAATGACATTATCCCAAATGGCCAAAGACCGGTCAGTTTGGGGCCGGAGTGGAGTTTGTTTGGCTGTGTGACTGAGGTATGAATTGGGTACGCATGATACTTAGAGCTTCGCATCAAAGGTTATTTTTCGGGGTCGTTCACCTACATTGAATTGTTAATGGAATTGGAAGAAGAAAAAAGGAATCGTCTGTTTGGAGCCAGAAGGACGTTAACAGTTAACAGAGTGTTAACACCCTCCTGGCTCTCACAGAGGGTATGTTCATGAAAGAGCAAGAAAGTCCTATGATGAAAAGGAGTCATATATTCATGATATTCACAAATATGTAAAAGTGTTTGTAGCTATTTTCAACAAAATAGGGTACTTTTTGTGAACGTGTACTCTTTGTGAATGTGTACTCCATAAACCAAACCAAGTGTTATGTTAAGAGTCTCCATTTTGTATCTGGTTCTAGGGCGAAGATGGGTCATATTTGTGGAGAATTTTCCTGAATTTATGCGAAGTAGGGGGTCGTTTTCGACTCTGCTAACGATCATGCGTTGCACCCAAACATGAAGTGTCACGACCCAGGGATGAAGATGTCTTATTGTTGCCATGGAAACCATATTCCAGCGTATGAATTACATGATATAAAATGTAAGGATTTAAAGGAGATAGGAAGAAGGAAGTTTTAATGTTTTAAAGATAAAGTCAAGCCTCTTTCTCTTTTTCATCTTTCTTTGTTCCCATTTATGTTGTCTTTTAAGCTTTAATAGTTGTCTCACAAATCTTTCATCAGGAAAATTATGATACCTTTGAAAGCTTTGAGAATTAAAGGTACATGTACTATGTCCCGTTTACAGGCCAAACAAAAATGAAAAGGTACAATTCCACTGGCATTTGAAAGATAATACTAAAGGAAAGGGCTTGAAAATGTCTTTTCGTGTGAAAATAACGACTGTTAGTTGTTAAAATCGACTTTCGTGATTGCAATCCCTATATGGTAAATAGTCTGATTTTCAGACCCTTATACCAATTGTTGTACGTTTTGTACTGCGCAAAGATTCAATCAGTTTAATTTTGGCCATTACAAGAAGTGGGTTATTGATGTAGACAAATGCTCATGTACCCTTCACAGCTCATTAAATGTAATACAAAAAACAAAAAAAAATTAAATTTCACAGATAGACATATGTGACATATCCATAATTCCTGCAAAGTTCTACAGAATTTGATGTTGGCTGCAAATGGAACATAGTACCTTTAAAATGCACTCACGTTTTGATGAGAGAAAATCACTCAAGTAAGCTACAGACAGGTATTGAATACCTCTATGGTGTGTACATGTACATATGTGTACCGGTGCATTTTTCTTTGCAGTACATGTCTATGTTTGATTTTATCCTAAGAAGGGAGTTTTCAAATTAAAATATTGTTTTTGTTTATTTTAGCTGCTGCTTTAAATCCATGCTCAATAGCATGTGTCTGAAAACTATGCAAGGAAAGTAATGTTGATATAGAGTTACAGCTTATTGAGATGCGAAGGTAATGGCATGCTTGTTTTGCAACTGCTTCTCGATACTGCATCTACATATTCTCTGCAAAAACATGGCATTAAATGTACAGGTACGTGTATGTGTGGGGATAGTCTTCCAATAACATCAAATGTAAACTGATTTCAGATGATGCATACATAGATGTAATTTTTTGTTTGCTCTCACTCTTGTTCTCTTCTTCCGTGTGCCGTCTCCTCTCTCTCTCTCTCCTTTTCTCTCTTTCAATCTCTCTATCTCACTCTCTATCTATTTCTCTCTCTCTCTCTCTCCTTTTCTCACTCTATCTCTCATTCTTTCTCACTCTCTCTATTCCCTACCCTCCTCTCCCTTTCTCTCCTTTTCTCTCTCTTTCTATATCTCGATCTCACTCTCCATCTATTTCTCTCTCTCTCTCTCTCTCTCTCCTTTTCTCACTCTCTCCCCCTCTCTCTATCTCTCCTTTTCTCACTCTCTCTATCTCTCATTCTTTCTCACTCTCTCTATTCCCTACCCTCCTCTCCCTTTCTCTCCTTTTCTCTCTCTCCCTCTCTCTTTCTATATCTCTATTTCATTCTATCTCTCCCTCTCTCTCTCTATCTCTCTCCTTTTCTCTCTCTCTATCTCTCTCTATCTTTCCTTTTCTCTCTCTCTCTCTCTCTCTCTATCATTCTTTCTCACTCTCTCAATTCCCTACCCTCTTTTTCTCTCTCTCCCTCTCTCTCTTTCTATATCTCTATCTCATTCTATCTCTCCTTTTCTCTCTCTCTATCTCTCCTTTTCTCTCTCTCTATCTCTCTCTATCTTTCCTTTTCTTTCTCTCTCTCTCTCTCTCTCTATCATTATTTCTCACTCTCTCCCTCCAACCCCCCTCTCTCATTCTCTCACCCATTGACTATCCCCCTCCAAAAAAATGCATCTTTACTTCTGACAATTCTTTTATTACTCATTCCCATTTTTATTAATGTTTCTTCCTTCCTCTTAATATTTCATCTATGATAGCATCTTGTATCTGTCTCTCACCCATTTTACACACACTGCACATACATGTACTTGTCAAATAACAAAATGTACACAGTATTACAATATCTTTATGCAGCAACTTATCATAAATTGAGTGATGAAGAGATCCGCTTGTTAGGATTTTATCAGCCCCTGGATAAGAGCTTTACTACATATTAACAGTATTTTATTCTTAGCAATACAAATATATATTTACTTATATGTATATTATACAAATAGTTATTTTACTTTATGCAAATTGAACCTCCTTCTTTTGTAGGAAATTAAGTTATTTTTGTTTTTGTGGTTCAGTGCTTATGTTTATGAACAAATATCTTCCATGTTCATTTTGTTACACAAAGAGAAACAGTGTTTCATCCCTTGTCTTATTTTTGTTTGTTTATTTTTTATACTAAAGTGTTCTTCGATCACTATGCTATTATCAGCTGAGAACCAGGGGGTGTTTCACAAAACTTGTCTTCAGTGACACATGACAGTTTTTGATATAAGCTACTGAAATCCTTGCTTCTGATTGGTTATCAGCAGATTTGTCACTGATTTTTGTCATTTGTTGTTGAAAAAAGGCTTTGTGAAACGGGCCCCAGGATTTGTAGAAATGTTATAAAAATATGGTGAACCACAACAGGATTAAGACAGAGTTACCAACTTTATACAAATGGAATCGGGGAGATTTTTTTAGTAAATAGTGGATGATTAGCTTTAGAGCCCTCACAAATTGGACATATGATGGTTTAGAGCTTTAATAATCTAATAATCTAATCTAATAGTCCACTCCAAATTTTATTAACCCGAAACGGAAAGTCTTTTTGCCCAATGGTAGAGGAACAAAATTGTTCATTCCACTGTGCTAAAAGCAAGGAATTTTAGGTAGATTAGCAGAACAGATTAGCAAACAGAAGACAGTTATTTGGAAATTGACACAAAGCATATACTTTTGACTCTTAAAAGTATGTGATAGTTATTTTATTTGTAACTTTAAAAGCTCCGCAAGATATGTTACAAAAGTTGCAATATCTCCATGCCCCCTTTTCTGGTTTAAAACATTATCCTACGCATATACTCTTCATATACTATTCATGCACATGAGTGTGCATTGAATAGCGAACAGAATGGTAGAAATTATATTTTATTTTTGTATTCAGTAGAATATATGTGTGAGAAATCAACCAACTTGCCATAGAAGACTGATATAATGAGCGAGAGTGTGTCGATGCTATGGCCGAGTACTTTATTTGAGCCGCAGAGTGGCAAAGTGGGCCAACTGATATTTTGGTTTAAAAACAAAATGCATATCTCTCACTATTTATGATCTCTGTATCTTTATAAAAAAGGTTTCACTTGATTGCGTTAATACATGTATATGTATTATTTTAATCGTTTCAAATGAATGTCTCATTTGTATGTAAATGTACGTGTTGTTTTGAAATTGATGGTGCTCATATTTGAGAGATATAAATATAAATGTACTAAGTCTATTTCCATTATTTTGTCAACTCAAGTAATCATAGAATTATGTGTTCTGTATGTTTGACATAAATTATATACTTTTATTTTTCTTGTGTGAAATGTATAATATATTTGTTACCCTGTATGCAAAAACTTGATTTCACACAGGCAGAATTCTTCCCAATTATTGGAGAGAATTTTAAGAATGTGAACGACAGCATTACCTTGTGTATTAATTGTTTGAAAAGGTGCCCTTGAATACAGCATGTACCCATAATTATACTGTCAAACACATTATTTACTTCATATTAAGGGGCTGCTATGGGTTTTACAGTAATTCTGCACTTCTGTGCATGCATGTTCTAATTAAATAAAATTTCATTTGAAAGGATAATCAAACCTTAATAGTAATGTAGCAGGAAAACAAATTAGAGAAGAATTGAAACAATCAGAATCACTTTGTTTAAAGTGAGGGAAATAATTTTATACTACTTGCAGGGATATTGTATACTACTTGCAGGGATATTTTATTTCAAGAGAGCTGTCTACCAAATGCATACAAAAATAAGATTTCATTATTTTCATACTACCTAATATAAGTCTCTATTGTCTGTTTAGATCCAGAAAGCTGCTATTAAACTCTATGTAAAAGTAAATGTGTTAATGTTGTTCTGGCTCCAAACAGACAGTATATTGCGCAACAAACATGTGCTTATTAAAATAACCATACACAAATTTTCATTTGTACATTCCCATAGTTATTTTATATTTGATACTAAACTTTGAATCAGAAAATATAATAATTCATTTACTTTGGTATTAAAGGCAAGTGTAAGAATCACAATCAAATGGTATTTTTTCACAGTTTGAGAGTCAATTCCTCAAATGTAGGAAAAGCAGTATGGATAATACCAAGCAATACACAGAGAAATCTTAATATGTACTTTTGATGACCATATGAAATTATATTTTGGAGAAAGTTTTGGGCTCGATTAGCATTAAAGTTAAATGGCATATCATTCAGAAATCTCAAAACCGCAAAGAAATACACTTTTCAGGTACAGGACAACAATTTTTCTTTGCTGCCTACATGTATGTAATTTTTCTTACATTTCGTCTTGTGTTGAATGTTTTTATTCAGAATGGTACTATATTATTCAACTATACAAAGAAATATATACAGGTGCTAAACCTAAACAATGAGTCTCGTCCAGATATGGAATGGTAATCTGCAGTGTTTTCTCTTCTATTTGAAGCATGTATCAGAGCTGCCAACCTTGTGCGACCCAAAAAAGGAACCATGATGGCAAAAAAAGGAATTCATTAAAACAAAACTTACAACCACACGCGACACATTTCCAATGCAGAAATGTCCATTCCTCATGCTTTTTTTCCATACAAGCAGGTATTTTGGGGTGGTTATTTTGGTATTATCGGCATTTCATTCTTTTTGAGAATATTTTTCTCTTCAAGTATGTTTTTAACTTAGTTTTCTATTGAATTTGTGATCAAATTAAATTTTAAGGCAGTTGTTTGATGTGCGGTATGTATAAAAAAAAATTAAAAAAAACCGTACTACCGTAATTTGGAGGAAACAATGGGAGTAATTCCGGCAAAAATGGAATGGTTGGCAGCTTTGGGCAAAAAACTCCAATCATGCGTGTATTCACAGAGCTCTGTGTTAGCAGATACAGAAATGTGAAGTCTATTACTCTTATATAATCATATTTTTTTAAAGATGCTGCTGTTTACTGCTCCATACCTGAACAAGGATTTACAGTGACTGAACAATCTTCCATGCCGGTGTAAATGTGAATTAAAATTATATTTTTGATCAACCTTGGCAAAGCAGAGGCTAATGTATGTGAAAGAGTAACATTTATGTTATCAGTACAGGTGTGAACTTGTTATATCATTATTATTGGGGGGGGGGGGGGGGGGGACAAAAGAGCATAAAGAGCTGGGACCAACATAATCGCTTTGTTATATCAGGCATCTCAATATATCAGAGTACTTTATAACAAGTTTCAACTGTATACTGTTTGCATAAACTCATGGGGCTTGACAAATGCATTTGGCAGATATCATTAACATGTACTAGAAGTCAATGTTCATTTTATATTTTGATGAAGTTTTATTTCTGTGATTGCCACAAATCAAGGATCTTAAGATCACCTTTAATCTTGAAAATTTGCTGTGAGACATTTGCACAATTATTAAAGTAAGGACGCTTGAATGTGCAGCAAGAAAGTGACTTGTTTTACTTGCCAAGGTGCCATGTTTAATTGTTGTGACTGGTTAAACGATTCCAAAGCAAATGCATTCCCATAGTAATCAGAGTGAATGTATTCATGATTATCAGCAATGATTTTAGGGGATTTTTTTTACTACAAAAACAGAAAATACAAGTTTGAAAGTCACATTTTGTTCTAATACTTCCACTGGCCCTCCTAATATTTGCTAAAATGTAATTCTATGAAAGATAACTTTGAACCGTTTTTATTTCTCTAGACGCAACCTTTTTTTAACAAATTGAATTTCCATTGTAAGTGAAGTTATGCCATATGCATTTTATGATGACGATGATCAGTGAAATAAACAATGCTCAAATATAATATATGCTTAAATTTGTTTTTACCTTATACAAAACCTGTTATGACACATGTGGGTCCTGTAACACAAGGCTTTAGCAATTGATTCTACGATTGATTTTTGCAATAATCAATCGTAGAATCAAATTGCCATGGTTTTTGTTACAGGGCCCTGCATTTTCATTTTTATGATGTGGATTTATGCTGTAATGTGTATGCATTTTACGTTGATCAATACAAGAAATAAAATCAAATATAAACAAAGAAGACTCAAAGTTTTATATAACTGTTTTTATTTAAAATGGAAACTGAATAAAAAAATACTTTAGAATTCTTGCAAAATGTTTGATAACAGTAGGGCAAAGAGTACCAAAGCTTTTGTCATTTTCGCTCATTGTCCAGGGTACTGGTTCAAAACATTAGAGCCTGTGCATGAGGTTCACCACAAAATCATTCTAGCAACAGACTGGAGCAGGGCAAATTCAGTGATTGGGGCTGGTGTGATCACTGCACCATTGTTTGGCACAATTAATGTCTGGAACCCAGCAACTGTGACAACTTGGCCAGTATGATACCACACTTTGGTACTATGGACTAAACATCTCCCATGGACTACTTCCTTGGCATTATGAATGACCAACTAAAATGCACAAAGTGGGACGTCTCTATGTGTATAAGAGCTGTGGGTATTTGGGGGTCGTTTCTATACTAGTGCTATCTCTGAAGTGGCTTATTTTTGCTCTTTACCCGTTTATTTTGGTTTTGTACCAGCTTTATGCCAACCAAACTAATGAAAGTCACTGACTTGATTCCCTAGAATTGATAAATAGATACACTGTAAGTGATGAAGTCAGTTTTTCAACAGTCAACAGTTCAGGGAATTTTTTCTCACTGCACTATGGTGCTCTGAAAATGCAATTGCATAAATTCAGATTTGGAGTTCTATATTATGAGGTCCCAAAAGGTAATATGAATATCAGAATTGGTGTTAGGATTCTGATTGACAATATAGATCCTCAGTCGGGACAAATTTCTTTTATGTTTTTTTTAATGTTCATATCTAATCCTATTGCAATGTCTCTCACAATGAATTTGCAGTACTGGGGGGGTGTTTCACGAAGACTAAGATCGACTTTAAGTTCTACTTAACTATGGCAGGCTGTTCATGCTACTGGTTGCTCTCACCATTGGTCTCTCAATTATGATCTTTAGATAATATTTTTCCTCAAATAATGAACTATCAACAAATGAAAATTCTGTAGATTTGTGACGATTTATACGTCCTTTGAGAAACCAATGCCAGGAATAGTTCGAGGAATTAGTGGCATGAGCGGCCTGCCATAATTAAGTCAACTTAAAGTCGAGCTTAGTCTTTGTGAAGCAAACTCCTGGACCCTGTTGCATAAAATTTACCATTGATGGTAACTTTACCCTCAATACTAACTACCATGGCAACATCACTCAACATCCAGTCAAATCAAGGTTTCCATGATTACCATTACTGGTAATGGATAAGTTACCATCAATGGTAAGTTTTATGCACCCAGGCCCAGTTGTAAAGTGTGCAATGGTTTGATACAATCTGCCAGTAGATGCCTATAAACAATCGGTTGCCTTGACTGCGAAGATACCATAGCAACGAGGGGAGGTCACAGGGTCAAAGAGCCGTACGATGCATGCCGTCTTGATGTTAGGCTAGAAAGGGAACAAGGAATCAGATAAAGAGAACCATCAAAAAATCTTCCTTTTCAAGTTTTCTGAATAATCATTAGTCAATATTTGAAATGGGAGTCTTGGATTGCAAAGTTTGGGGTAAAGAAAAGTTTATTTTTAAATTGAAAAATAATGCCCCATACGCATTTATTTCTTCTTCCTACTGACTCATATATATATATATATATATATCACAAAATGCACTTTCACTGAAGATTATCCAAAAGCGCACTTAAACAGGCGTAATTAAGCGCGCATTACCAATGAGCGCAATTGAACAAAACACATACGCGCACCATACCGTCAAGGGGTTGGATTAAACTAAAACTTTTTATGTGTGAAATTGGGCCTGGGTGTCTTTTCTGTAGATGCATACACGTCCTTTTCATTTGTGAGGTTAATTTTTTTTAGATGTGGAATATAAAGCAAATAATCACCTTTTGGTTTCAGGCAATGGCAAACTATCACTTCCTCATCGAGCAGAGTGTATACGTTATCTTTCCTCAGCTCCGCTTCGGAAGTGATAGTTTGTCCCATCACCTTCATCAACGGTAGTTATTTGCTTAATATCCTGGATTCCAAAATTATCAATTAATGCATATTGAATAAAAGATATACTCCTTTTTAAATCTGATTTTCTGTTGTTGGTGTTTTACACACATAGCTTCCAACTCATTGTTCTATTTTTTTTAAAGCAATACACGATTTCCAGTTTGTCATTCAGGACATTGAGACTAAATTTCTAGCTTATTGACCTAACATAATGATGAAGACAGAGATGTGGCCATCATACAGTATCACTAAAATTAAACGGCTTTTATGAGTGATAGTGTTAACAATATTTCATAAAAAAACAAGACAAGATTGAATATGTCATGCAAGGAAGCATATGTCACAGAACTGGTCAACCTAAATTACATCTCAGCTGCAAGATAATATTACCAGGTCATACCTGTTCTTTCAAGTAAAGAAGTCTGTCTAGGAGGATAATGGCCTCGATGCTAGGTGACAATGCTGCCCTCAGCTGGTTGTAAGCTGCCAGGTGTCGGTAAAAAGGTCTGTACTCGGCTTCATATGCACTGATCTCATCATCGGATATCTGAATAACATTCGATAGAAAATAGTTAGATAAAATCAAGAACTTTTGCAAGCATGAATTGTTTGTAAACTTTGTGAATGACTCAGGACCCTGTTTCATAAAACTACATCAATAACAAATGCTAAGATTCTATGAAAAATTTGTTCTCAGTCAATCAAATGCAAGGATTTCAGTAGCTTGTAACACATATTGTAAATTTTTATTGAAAACAAGTTGTATGAAACAGGGCTCTGGTACCCCAAAGTGTCATGTCATCTGATCCCAACTGACTGTCTGACACAACACAATATCAGCTTAGGTGTTGATGAGTTCCTGGCATTTGCTGGGGTATTGAAGAGCAGTATTAATACTGATGTGGCTACCCTGGATAAATAAGACCCAATTATTATTGATTGTCATAAGTAACCTTTGTTTTAACCAAAGACACACTATTAAACCAGACCTGCCAACCTCTGGGGTTCAAAAACTGTATTCTTTAATCCCAAAAGTTGTATTTTACTGACAAAAGTTGTATTCTCAAAAATAAACATGGACTATTACGCGGATCAATGCCTCTTACCAGTTCCTACAAACAGGAAGAATTTTTGTTATGGATCATTGGTTGAATATGCACAATATGCCAATTAACATCTCCAAATTGCCAATGTGACATGCTTATAGGATACTTTACAGGACGGAATAGGCATTTTGCCATGGAAATGGCACACACACACACAAAATAGAAATTATTATTATTTAAAATAAAAAAAAGTTTTCAGTTTTGGAAAATCGTATTCTATTGAGGGAAATCATACCGTCGTATTTGCTTCTAAAAATCGTACGAAATACAACTAAATCGTACTGGTTGGCAGGTCTCTTAAACCGACTACAAACTGATTCCAAAGTCACCGTTTCTTGGCCATTCAGTGTTAAAGTTTTCTATATACAGTAGTTTTAGATCACCGTAACTAAGGTATTAATGCTCTCTTGTTTTATAAATACAGACTCTCATTGTAATGAGCGTTCAGGAACCAGAGAAATTTACTTGTTATCATGAACCCTATTACATTTTTGTTACAAAATAATACAATAAAAAAATCTGAAATTTCCTGCAAAAATTACTGTTACATCAAGCAAGGTTTTGTTATGTTAGTGCTTGCTTTAAAAACAAGATTCCACTGTAATAACCCATAAAAAAGCCAACTAGTCAGGCCTGATAATAACCTGATTTAAATCGGTTTCCCAATTTTTTCATTTCTTCCAGATTTTACCCTTATTGTCCCTATTTTTCCCTTTCTTTCCCTATTTTTCCCCAACGTTCTCACTCAAAAGGAGGGTAATGTTGTAAGATGCAAAATTTTTTCCAGAATCTTTCTTTATTTTTTATTTTTTTGTTAGTGCTCACTATCACCCCTGAATAGTATTTGACTAACCTTGGTATCATCCATCTTCAGTTTTTTAAGTGCCTTCCGTGTGTATTCCATAAATGACTTGCACTTTGGTGCAAGCTTTCCAATGATCTGTTTTCTAAAGTAAAGTAAAAAGACAAGAAGAGATAAAAGTGAGTCATGGTCATGCAGTTCTCGCTATCGCCACTATGGTATTCGGCCGTAAAGGGCAGCACCGGCCATTGGTAGCCTAAATATGTGAAACTTCCAGTCCTTGAGAACTGAAAAGTCTGATAGAAATGATAGTATCAGAGCCAACACAATATAGGCAACAGATTATGATGTTGCCTACTTAGATCTTATGAAATCATCGGGAAGTTCATGAAACCTTAAAATATATATTGGTGTGTGTAAATGAGCTACCGTGCAGAGAAAAGGAGGAAAGCAAACAAAGTGTGAAATGTCAAACTTTGTATTTTAGGGCGTCATTTAACAATGTTCAATCTGAGATGCATGGCCCTTCGTGTTATCAGTGTCTGTGATATGGTGTAATATTCATACATGCCAACGTTTGAAAATCAGAAATCTGTACAAATTATGCTATTTAAAAAAAAAGAGGAACAATCCTAACTCTCCTATTCAATACTACAGACAAATTTGTACAGGAAGAGGAACACCTGCATTAAAATGATAATTATCTTCTCCCAAAAAGAGCAATGTTCCTCTTTAATCTGAACAATTGGCATGTATGTAATATTGAAACCCTAAAAATTGCGCTTTAAAATGATCATGAAGTGCCTCAAAAAGGAAAAATCTTTGAGTGACCAGTTTTACCATACTCATTTTCTCCAATAGACTGTAGTGTTATGAAAACCGTTGGGGGAAAAAATTTAAAAATTCAATTTCCAATCATAAATATCTTGATAATCAGACAGGCGATTGGCTTGTAAAAGTCATGGGATTCCTGACTAACCTAAAGGTTTATAGTTATGATTGCAGCATGAGCTAAATCCAGGATTTTCATTCAGAATCTGAGGCAATGTTACAGAGTCACTTTAAAGGCCCACTGCACTACTTGTAGCTACTTGCGCCTTCTATATAGCAAACAATGCCTAATCAGTGACCATTGGTTCCCCCATGATCCTCTTTTTCTTATGTTATTTGAGAGCTGAGTTGATGAGATAACCACCTGTCCAGTGACCTCGCAGGGTGGTCTTATCCCTCCTTTACACTAGTACTGATGGGCTTAAAGTTTCGGCGCAGAATTATCTCACCTTGTTGGAATGGTGAAGTGATCTCTACAGATGACCTGAAGCACAGCTCTGTAGAACAACCCCTTCACATCAACAGTCTTCTCTGATGCTATTCTATCAGCTGCCTGTACACAAACAAATGGAGAGGAGAGTATAAGGAGACACAGCAAGACAAACTGGAACATGGTAAGAAAATTATTCGACCTAAATGAATAATTGCAGTACTTAGACTGTATAAAATCAACCTCATAAAACAGGGAACGACACTTACCAGGCGCCCGGGATACATGGGTGTCAAGAATCTATGTAAGAAGAACTTTGAACCCCCAAAAATGTCTGAATTTCTACAAAACCCTCAATGCATACATACTCAACAATTCAAGTCTGGACCCCCAACAAAAAGTTAGTGTGGAGCCCTGCTTAAAACTTCAAATTGCATTCTAAGGGTTAATTAGCAAGTGATACATGTATGAATGAAAAGGATTGAAAACACCTAGCACTGAATCCAAGTCGAACAGGGTTCGGTGCGAGCCCTACCCTATGTGGGCGCATCCAAGTGTCTGCAGGAGGGGGGGGGGGGGGGGCTGCAATCTACAAGCCCAGCTTTTCAGCAGTCCCCTCCATGACCAACCTGTTTTATATGCCTGTTGTACACTGGGGACCAATTACAAATATATTGTTAAGTTTCATTGTTTTATTATGTACAATGCAATCCCATGTACTTCATTTTGTTTTGTTGGAAATGGAAATAAACAAAATGAAGTGTCAGTGGTGTGAAGTACTATGTGACCTTGAACCTCATATTTTCACTCAGTATAGTCACATGGAACCTCTACTTATACATGTCCACGTTTATTGTGACCCATTTCATTTTTAGCATAACCAAATAATCAAGAACAATTTTTTGTCTACTTACCATACAAGCTGTCATTCGAGCGCCCCGCCCCAGGGCAACTTTTTTCTCTCTCAAATAGTCGCTCATTGGGAATCCAAATGACGACCCCATCTTGATCCCCGAGTGTTCCCGATCCCATTCGTCTTTCTTAGCAAACTCTTCAGTGACGTGGTGATAGCAGCAGCCTACGTTACACAGGCAATGCATGCTGGGATTCGACTGGAAGATTCTCAGCATAGAGGGAGCTAGATCACCACACGTGTGCAGTCCCACCATCATGAAAGGCTGCAAAGACATACAGAGTACAGACTTGTTTGAGAGTTAAAACTAACAATTTACAAAAAGACCACCCATTTACATACTGTATAAGACCATTATGTGCTGTCCCACTCTCCAAATCATGAATGGCGGCAAACATTCAATCCTGCTTGGAAATTAACAGCCACATTTATAAAAACACCACCCATCTACATGACTTGTATAGACCACCAGACCATAGTCATAGACCATGTGAGCAGTCCACTCCAAAAATAATGAATGGCTGCAAACAACACATACTGTACATCATGTTCATGTACATTCAAACTTCAAAGTATTTTCAAGCTTTCTTTAGAAATTTGCAACTACCTTTTCTTAAAGCCCCACTGCACTACTTACCAGTATAGCTACTTGTGCCCTCTATATAGCAAACAATGCCTCATCAGTGCATATTGGTCCCTCATGATCCCCTTTTTCTTATGTCAATTGAGAACTGATTTGAGGAGATAACCACCTGTCAGCAGCCACGCAGGGAGATTTAATCCCCCCGGGCCAAACTAGTGCAAACGGGCTTAAAGAATCCATCCTTCTATAGACAGCTTTTGACCATAGAACATGAACACCTGCAGTCCCAAAATTATGGTTGCTGCAAAGAGGGCAATTAAAGAGTATTTAAAATCAAGCTGCTTTAGAAACTATCAACCACATTTCCTCTCTTAACCCTTACTGTACTGGGGGGGGGGGGGGGGGGGGGGGCCTGGGATGCCCCCCCCTCGACATTTTCGGAGATTGCGCCGCAACCGCTCAGAATTTTGAATTGTCGTTTCATGACTTTTTTTCCTCAAGTCTTACGCACATTTTGATACCATTTTCGTCGAAATCGGATATACCTGTAAGGTGTTACATAACAATTAGTATGCGCATGTCATCAAAAAAGTGCTCTAATTGCATATATTCATGTACAAGCAGAAATGTGAAAATATGAATTGATATCAAATTGCTTTTATATGTTTCTCAAAGTAACTTGATGTATTTCAGAACAAAAGAATACATTAGAAATAAAACAATAGATATAATAAGAAATAAAAAACAATAAAATACATAAGAAATTAAATATTCAAAAATCGCATCAAATTTGCATAAATTATCATTATTAATTACATCAAATAACTATTTTGTGTTAGAAAAGAAGTTTCATATGAATAATGAGTTTTAACATTCAAAAAGTGGAGTCTGACAATTTTTGTAATGATTCTAGTTCCCTTTATATATTTCCAGATTTGATATTCATGAATGCGTATTCATAATTTATGCAAATTAACCTATGCATTTTCAAATATCATAAAAATAATGAAACCTCATGAATTTGAGATGAAGGAAACATTTATTCAATACATTTTCAAGATTCTTCACAAGTCTACGGACAAATATGTAGAGTTTTCTTTAAAATGCATAAAATTAGCATTTTGCATAATTAATTAGGCTATAACAACAAAAATGTTATTAGCATATTAGGAAAAAACTAATTTTACCATCTTGTTCCTTACGTTAATATCTACAAACATGCAAATTTTCGCATTCATCGGACATTCGACAGCCGAGATTACAGGGGGGGGGGGGGCCTCCCAGGCCCCCCCCCCCCCCCCCCCCCCCAGTCAGAGAGTGCTCGAAATAGCCCAGTACAGTAAGGGTTAAACACAACCCACAACAGACGTATCTTACCTGTGTTAGATCAAAGCTACTTGCATTTTCATCACACTGCAAAATATCCCCAATCTCTGTCTCTTCGTCGACATAGCCCGTTACAGCAACACAAGCAGCCGGCTTCGTTCCAGCCTCTCCCCGCTCTTCAGCCTTCATTTCAGTTTTGGGTGTGGTAGCTCCCCCATGGCAAGTTCGTTCTTGGCTGAGAATTGAATTGTTCTTTCCATCAGTTTGGGACTTCATCAGCTCATCTTCCTCTGCTAGTAGGGATGATGATGACGGGGTGAACGATACCAATGGATGATGTGGTGGTGGCGGTGGTTGGTTAGGATGAGGTAGAGAGGTGTTTGGCAATGAGTTTAAAGCTGTTATTGATGATTTTGCTGAAAGTGCTGACATTCGTATATCAGTCCCTGTTGTTAGTGATGAAGTTGTTTCTCCAGCTACAAGAGTTGTTGGTGGAGATGAAAATGATGATGCTATTGACGATGATAATAATGATGATGATAATGATGCTATTGATGTTGAAGATGATGATGTTGATGGTACTATTGATGTTGAAGAGGATGATGATGATGATGATGATGATAATGCAGTTATTGATGTTAATGATGATGCTGTTGATGTCGAAGATGACGAACATGATGACGATGATGATAATGCTACTATTGAAATTGAAGATGATGATGAAGATACCAGTACAGATGAAGGCAATGAAGATGGTGACAACTTTTTAACAGCTCCTGATGTACCATCCCCTAACGACACAGATTGCACTGGTATTGATTCAGTCACAATCAAAGTAGATGACAATACAATTTTCTCACTTGATGATAATTCCTTCCCTTCATTTTCAGTCAAATCTACCTGGCATCTGTCTGTACCATCATTGTTTCGAGTTTTTTCAGACCCGCTATTACTTCTGCTTTCTAGCCTGCAGTCTTTCATGCTACAAGCAGACCCTGCATCAGATACCTTCTCCTGTCTTCTCTGTGTGGCATTCTTAACGATCCCTCTCCACTGTTTGCTCAACCTGTTGTTCCGCTTAAGGGCGCCGTTTGTATTGGTCTCTGACGAATCGACGCTGATAACGTTAATACCATACTGCATGGTGAGGAACTGTCCCAGATAACCTTTCCCACTTCCGATATCAATAACCTGTAAAGTGGAGTAGAATTAAAGAGTTAAGTATTGGAAACGCCCCAATTTCAAAAAATGAAATGGAAGCTCTCATTACCAATCATGTGAAAGAATATGTTTTGACGAATACATGATGATACAAAATTTGCCGGGAAACCGCCTACTAATTCATATATTTGGTAAATTTGTTTCTCTCATGGTCTGTGAGAGATATAGGGTAGTCCCATATACATCTTTCTGTGTATAGTGCTTGTAACTTTACAAAGAATGGGCCAAATTTCTTATCATTTTGATGATTCCAGAACCTTGCAGATGCTAGATGCTAGATGATCAACCTTTTCTGATCGATTCCACGTTTCTTTCACAATGCAATCGCACGACCATAACTGGTCTTTACCTTTAAAAGAGCAATTTGCAACATAATTTTTAACAAAAAATTATTATTTTGTGTATTGATTTTTTTTCTCCCCCCCCCCCCCCCCGGCCCCCCTGAAGAGGGAGGGGGAGAGGACATTCACAATAATGAGTTTCAAAAATTAAGGACTCGTAACTGGGATTCATAATTTTGTATTAGTCTACCTCATTGATAGATTTTGAGATTTATAATTCCCATCTGGAATTTAAAAAGTCAATTCAGTAAAGGAGCTTGGCAAAAACAGCCCCCCCCCCCCCCCCCCAAAGGAAAAAAAAATGTCACAAGAAATATAACCATTGATAATAAAACAAAACAAAAAACAAAACAGAAAATTCTAAAGAACAGGTTGGCAGGTGTGAAAAAACGAAGGTAGGCCTAGATCTACATGCAGTTTCTGTCCATTTATAACTGTTCTCAGTATAATTTTTTTTATCAGTACTGGACCTACGTCTTTATTAAACATACAGTCAATGCACTAAAACTTTTTTTTTTTTAATTTAACTGAAACTGCAATGTCCAATGTATAAATTTAAAAAAGATAAGAAAACAGAGTCTAACTCTAACTAAAATTCAATCCCATCAGCCCACCTGCTTGATACCAGTTGCAGACAACAAATTTGCACATTTCTGAGCCATTAGGGCTACTTCATGTGACTTCTTGTTGCCCATTATCCGTTTCGTAAGCTCTGCATTTTCTCTCCACTCTCGCTCCTGCGACACGGCTGCATCCAGCGGCTCCTCCATCTGCTCCTCGCCTGAACTCCTGGTGTCATGCTCCACATCTTGCCCCGCAGTGGCGCGGAGGTACTCTTTCCCACAACATTCTGTCACACTATCAATAGGCAGTGCCAGTGTATCTAATCGGTTTTCTACCATTTCTTTCATGAATTTCCGTAGAAGAGGGACTTGTCCGTCCAGTGATTTAGATTGACTGTGAAGCAAAACTCTGCCACTAGGAAATAGAGCCAATTCCGTGTCCGTCAGCTGAAGAAGTTGAGAGGCAAATTCACAATCAAGATTGTCGTCCCACATATTATTTGTATAAAAATTTACGGTACTGCACTCTAAAACCGACATAAATTTACTTATGAATTGAAGGATGTTATCGAGGTGCATTCTTACGTCCTCCATTGTGAAATAAATTGATAAAATACTTCAGGTTCAAGTTTCAACACGATTCCAAATCTCTATCTAAAGTAGCGAGTGGGCGCTGCCATTATGATTAATCATTATTTTGTCTCAACAGAGGGCGATATGCAGATCGAAAGGAAACGCTTTGTCAAAGCATGGACCTACAAATGAGTTCCCTACTACAAAGCGAGTTCCCTTCAACCTTTCCGAGATAAATCCTTCTAAAATCAAAATAACCCTAATAATAACATACGTTAAATATCCTGATGTTTACCAGTTAATAAGGCTCAAGTGTTTGTTTCCAATATATCTCCTCCGGCCTTTTTTCATTTATTTACTATTGCATCTCCATTTAATATTCGATGCTCTCACCCCCCCCCCCTCCATTTGTCTTTCCCCTTCTCCCTCCCTCCCTATCTTTCTATCTCTTCTCATCTCTCTTTTTCTTTCTTCCTCCCTCGATCCCTATCTTTCTATCTCTTCTCATCTCTCTTTTTCTTTCTTCCTCCCTCGATCCCTATCTTTCTATCTCTTCTCATCTCTCTTTTTCTTTCTTTCTCCCTCCCTATCTTTCTATCTCTTCTCATCTCTCTTTTTCTTTCTTCCTCCCTCGATCCCTATCTTTCTATCTCTTCTCATCTCTCTTTTTCTTTCTTCTTCCCTCCCTATCTTTCTATCTCTTCTCATCTCTCTTTTTCTTTCTTTCTCCCTCCCTATCTTTCTATCTCTTTCTCATCTCTTTGTTCTCTCTCTCTCTTCTTATCTCTCTTTTTCTTTCTTCCTCCCTCGATCCCTATCTTTCTATCTCTCTTTTTCTTTAATTCCTCCCTCCCTATCTTTCTATCTCTTTCTCATCTCTCTCTCTCTCTCTCTCTCTCTCTCTCTTCTTCATACCTCTATCGTTTGCTCCACCCTCTTCCCCCTACCTCCATGCCCCCCCCCCCTTTTTAATTCATTACACAAAGGTTCACATTCATGAATGCCTTTACACAAAAACCATAACTCATTCTCTTCTCTATAAAGCCAAGCACAGACTTAAAAAGGGATCCGGTATCTTTGTCTCAGATTTTGAAAAAAAATCCTGGATTTAGCTCATGCTGCAATGATGATTATAAACCTTTAGGTCAGTCAGGAACCCCATGACTTTTACAAGCCGATCGCCTGTCTGATTATCAAGATATTTATGATTGTAATTACAAATTTGGAAAACCGTTCACTGGACGGTTTTCATAACACTACAGTCTATTGGGGGAAACGAGTATGGTAAAACCGGTCACTCAAAGATTTTTTCTTTTTTGAGGCACTTCTTGATCATTTTGAAGCGCGATTTTTTTTTAGGGCTTCAATATTACACCATATCACAGACACTAATAACACGTAGGGCCGTGCATCTCAGATTTAACATTGTTAAACGATTTAACCAACTGAAAGCAGTCCAAACATTGTTCGTATCTGTTCTCAAATGAAAATATCACTAAAAGACAATTAATCACATAAAGTATCATCTCTTTTATTACAAGGAAAGGTGGCTTAGACGATTGACCTGAAAAATAAAACATGCTCTGTATTACAAGTGTCCATGTGATATATCATATACAAAGATAACAACAGAAAAAAAAGGTAAAGACACGTTTTATACATAAGACCATGGAATTACAGCAGACCAGGATTTTTGATAAAAATTAAAATATTTAAAAATGAGCTCTCTAGCATTATGATCAGCTGTTGACAAAGACTTTGCACAGGCTGTAAAATTAGAATCTCAACATTATAAACATCAACAAAAAAAAGAACAGATATTTATTCTCTTGTATGTGCATGATAAACTCATCAGAAGGGCATTAAAGGTAAAGACCAGTATTGGAAACACCCCAATTTCAAAAAATGAAATGGAAGCTCTTATTACCAATCATGTGAAAGAATATGTTTTGACTAATACATGATGATAAATTTTTTGCCGGGAAACCGCCTACTAATTGATATATTTGGTAAATTAGTTTATCTATTGGTGTGTGAGAGATAAACGTACGTGTCGCGCACGTGTGCGTAGTCCCATATACATCTTTCTGTGTACAGTGCTTGTAACTTTACAAAGACTGGGCCAAATTTCTTATGATTTTGATGATTCCAGAACCTTGCAGTACACACTTATATGCTAGATTATCAACCTTTTCTGAAATGATTCAACATCGTTTCTTTCACAATGCAATTGCATGACCAGGGCCCTGTCTTACAAAGAGTTTAGGATTGATTAAAATCAATCGTAAGTCATCTAATCAATCGCAAGTTAGCTGTCTCCTATCTTTTATGTACATAGTTGTGATTGAAATCAATCGCAAATAAGTTGCGATTGATTTCAACTCTTTGTAAGACAGGGCCCAGAACTCAACTTTATCTTTAACTACCTACAGTAACGTTAGAGGACATCATCAACTTGCTAGTTTGCATACAGCGAAAGTAATACCAAAGAGTTTCCCATTAGTGATTAGTGATACATATCACCGTTTCATGAAATTATGCACAAATTTTTAATTCCATACTGTCCTATTTTTCATCTGATCATTGTACTGTTTATTTAATTTTTCTCTACTTATTTGATTCAACTTGCGAATGAGCCAGACTTGCCCTTCAACTCTGTGAATGAAGATATACACATGTACGTCAACGCACTATGTCTCTAAGTAGACAAAATTTGAGACATAGACCGAGGAGGTTCCACCAATTTTGTTGGCAAGAAGGAATCATCCATTCAATACTTCAGAACACAGTTAATTAACAAATACAATTTTTTTTAAATGACACAAATTTTATTTCAACATAATTCTACTCTTTCACTTCATAGAATCATAGTGTGCACAATTCAGCTTGATACAGTTGACAAGTTTGAGTTGCATTATCGATCAAAAGTGCATGCCATTCTTTAATAATATCGAGTGCAAGTATGCCTGTTTTTATAGCAAGTTTCCCTATCTACATCAATATGTATACGTAAGCCTCCCACTTCATTTCAAAAGAAATTAAAAAAACTCTTACACAAAAATATATGTAGATACCAGATTCATATGTTGGTGCATGCAAAATTTGCTTTAATTAACCTTTTTTACAAAGATGTTTCAATTAATACTGATTAATAGTTTTTAATGAGATGCGCTACATGTGCTAAATGATTGAAGCTTGGTAAAGAAAGCTGTATTTATAACAGAAAGGGCAAGAGTTTGTTACATATACAGTCAAACCTGCTTTTAATAGTGACCACCTGTACATGAAGACCACCTAGCTATCTATAAAGACCAATTTTCTTGTCTCCCTTGGGTGGTCTCTATAGACAGGTTTCACTGTATTTTGTTTTGTATTCAAAGATTTGAACGATAAATTGGACTTCAAAAGCATCAATATTGCACAATTTTGGCTAAGAAAATCTTGGATTGTTATTAATAAAACGAAAATCTAAAGACATACATTGCATGCCCTTATTCCATAATCATCTATTACAGCGAATACTGAGATCAAACAGAATGCACATCCCATGAAGGAGTGTTGATAGTTTATGGAGCTGTGAAACGCACACATACATGTACATGTATATCAGTTTGACTCAGTCAATACACTGTATTATGAAAATAAGATTGAGTTGTTAGCTTAAAGTGTACCAATCCCCTAAAAAAAAATTGAGTACAGCTAGAATGTATGAAATCAGCCTATAAAATACAACACCCTTCTCCTCTGTGAGCTAATGAAGTATGAAGATAATAAAATGTGCATACGGAACCCAAGGGTGACTTGGGTTCATGCGAGCGTGTACAGGTGCGTCAAGTAGTCTACCGGTACTCAAAAGTTGCTTTTATGTTAATTGATGGTGTATTAAAACTTGCAAATTCTCTTTTTATAAGTAATATCTGAAGCGCATAATGATACTATCACGGCATGGAACTACTAACATTGGAACAAATACTTTGTGCGACTGGTATACTTTAAGAAGAATCGCTAAGTGATTACACTCAGTTTTGTTTTTTCCTTTCTTTTTACAAAACAAATGTTTATAATGTTACACAGGAGGGATGTTTAACATGTAGTATAAATTATGTGTACGGGCAAAATAAGCCCAGAAGTACACCGTACTTGGCAATATTTTTACATCAAATTTTTGTTACTGTGTGGCCTGGAGTCATACAAATCACAGAACAGCAAATCTCATCCCGTTTCCCATACATTAAATAAAAAGGTGCACAGCCCTACAAAACATTTTCCCATATTTCATATACTTGAAGGTGATTTGAAAACATTCAAAGGGTATTTTCACGTTATTTATCATTGCCGTTTTACTAAACTTGTTAGTGATGACAGTGTCACAATACGCTAAAATCCCTGAAATTGATTCAGTGAGTAAGTTTGATTGTGAGCAATTTGCTATAGAAATATGACAGCAATAGGGCTAAAATTGTGAAATACGTGAACACAGATTCCTAATTCACCAAAACACAACTGTTCATTTAGTTTGGGTTACATTAATGCAAGCTATAAAACCTTGTGTACAGGTGAATGGCAATATCAGCATTATGTAGCCAATGTCAATTAACAAGAAGATTAATGTCAAGATCATTATGGTGAAAGTTTGTACAAAAAGTACATAGATTTTTATTTTTGCAAAGACAACAAACTACCAGTATTAAAAGTGATGTGAAGTTTCTTCAATAATGAAACAATGATTTTAATCTCAATGTTCCTGTTTTGGCAGGTAATGTGTGGCAAATCCTCTAACACAATGGCACAGCTAGGTGGGGATATATTCAAGGCAAAATAATGAACCAAAAATCTACACAACAACGATGGCTGAAAAGTGATTTTCCAGATACACAATGTATACTCAGCATTTTGTTTAAAAAGGGACATACACCTGTACATGTACGTGTAATGACACACTGTAAGTACATTATCAATCTGTTTGCCTGTAGCATATTTAGAGTGCCTGAGGCATGCAAGCACATAGTTTTTTTTAAACACCCTGTAATCCGTTCATTACTTCTTTGTCTCTTCAAAGTCACAGGCACAGGTCTATACACAATTTGTTCTCCACATATCCCTGACTTCACAATCATGATATCATAGCATTTGAGACAATGATTAGCAAAAATAAACAAAATCAATTCCTAGTATCCTTCAGGAGTTTCAAACTTTTCACCTAGAGGCACTTCTATCTGCAGCTTGCGTTTCCACCAACTCTCCTCGAGACATTTGCGATTGCGAATTGCTAAAAACGAACACATGTTTGACAATTTTTCGACGTACCACTCGCCCGCTAGAGTCATACTTGCACTCAATCTCCTTGCTGTATTTGCTGATATTATGATGGTATTTCTCCAGGATTTCCTTGCAGGAGAGAGAATTGGTAGCTGGGGCGTCTCCTTCGGTAACAACGACTTCCTTGAAGCGTTGCTGATGTCTAGCCTCTCTCCGCTGCTTGCGACAAGTGGTATCGCTGCTTGATATCACAATATTCCCTTCCTCTGTGATGTTTCTACCAGTATCAGAGGCATTACCCATATTGGTATGTTGTCGTTGATTAGGCAAGAGGTGATTCTGTCTCTTTGGTTGTTGGTGTGTGTTCTGACTTTGAGGGTGCCTTGTACTTGAACTGGCCATTTGAGGAGATGCATGCTTGGTGGAAGGTTGGACAGAGGATGGGGAAGGTGCCAGGGTTGTGTCCTTGTCCAAGGGTGTGATTGCGCTGCCGATGACAAGGCAGTCATGCGCCCTCGCTGCAGGATCGTGGAGCATTGGATGACCACTGTAGGAACCATCTTGCCTGGTGCATTGACTCCTTGAAGTCGTCAAGGCACTTTGATTCGGAACATTTATATTCACCCGAGAGGAGAGACTTTGTCCACTTGGGGAAACCCATCTGTTGACACCCTGTGAAACATCTCGCTCATGAAGTATTCCATCAGAATATGACATATCACATTCTAAATTGATACTTCTCTCATTTTCAATCCTCCTTACTTTGTTACTCTGTTCATTCACAGGAGATGTCTGTTGCATTCGCTTTAGCACAGACCCTGCGGTATTTGATCCTGAACTATTTGATCCTGACAGATGCGAGTCGTTAGCAAAGCCATGGTAATCCGCAAGATTGATATAGTTGCCTCTAGCATTTGTCTCAGATCTCATGTTCTCCCTTTGTTCTGCATGCTGGAGGAGAAGTGAACCTTCAAAGGCTCCTCGAGAAGAAGCTGGTTCAAGGGTTGATCTTGCTGGAGGGATAGCATCAGAAGTAGTAACTACATCCAAACCCACCTCCTCTTCCTCCTCCTCATCTTCATAAATGTCCACACATACAATATTATACTCATCTGTGCGTCCTGATTTACCCACTTCTGCAACCTCACAAATCATCTCTGGATGATGAGAGAGAAAGTGGTCTTCCAAGAACTCTCTCCGCGTGTACCTCCTGGTCTCTCTTCCATTGGGGCAATACTTGCACCAGTAGTAGTAGTTCAGATGCTGGCATCGATAGTGTCTCTTGGCGTTCTTGAGCAGCGTGAAGTTGGTCCCACAGATGCCACATTGGAATCTTCGTACCTTGACTGTTCCTTTCGATGCTGGCATCATCTCTCTTGAACCATGCTGAAACAGAGAAGAGGAAAATGTTTGCATTAGATTGTTGCCGAGTCTGCTTTGAGTTAGAGTCATTGAAAATGGAGTTCAACACATGCACTTGAGGTTATTTGTACCATTCTTGAGGCAACATCTTATTCTTACGCTTTATGAACAATGCCTCATGCCCTCATCCTATTTCAGTTTTGACAATGGACCTTCCTTCCGCAGGGTCCATTTTGTATTTTCTTTCTGTAACCTCACGGCGAATAAGCGCTCCTTCTGCTCCAAAGTCCTCAATAGTTGAGCGTTCCTCGTATTCAGTTAGTCGAGGACCAAACTGGTCTAGCAACAAAGGAAGTGAAGTGTTAGAAGAGGAACTCTCTGAGCTATGGCCTGTGACTCTTTGTACTGGGGATTGTCTCCGGTTTGTCTCACGATGACTTGTATCTTTCCATTTCCTTTGATCACTGTCCAGTTTCAGATCAGTCTGTGTGCCACAGGTTTCCTTTTTGTTTGTATCTGCAATGCCTTCATCAGCAGCTTCCATTCCAGCTTCTCTTGTCCCAGTGGTCTGCACATCCTGTGAGACATTGCGATGCTGATTGCTTCGAGACAGATCTGCAGCGGGACCTCCAAGAACTGGAGCATTTGCTCTTTGCGCCAATAACAATTTCGGCATGGCCACAGGCTTCTTATTCAACGTACATCCCTTTACTGATGCATTCTGCATTTTGTTCTCATAAGCAGCTGCAAATCTTTTACACTTGATGTATAATTTTCTCTTCTTATTTACGAGGCTTCTTGACTTTGACAATGGACTTGTTAACTTCCTGTTGTGCCGTTCATCAACAACTTGGTCTCCACTTCTCTTGGTTCTCTTGCCATGTGTTTGCCTCTGCATAGAGATGGCATCATCTTGTTCTGTTACAGTGAATCTTCTATTTCGATTTTGAGTAGACATAGACGCATCACACCGACTTCCACTTCTTAAATCAGATGAACCTTTGCTTGAACCCTGATCAACAGCGCCCTCAACCCTCAGAGACGCATTATGTTTACCCTGCTCTTTCTTATTTGAACTTCTAGTTCGATTGTCAAGTTCAGCATATTTTGATGTATCACGTGAAAGACCACTCTTCTTTCTGCTCTCTAGTGACGGTAGCTGTGCTCCCTTATCAGTGTTATTCCTTTTACTCTCATTGGTATTGCCTCCATCATGATTACGCCCACCCTCTAGGTCAACATTACCAACGACATTAATAATCTGGACATTCGCATCCCCTGAGGCAGCACTCTGAAGGGAGTCAGGGCAATGTCTTTTACCATGTGGCACATGCCCTTGTCCTGCATTGCTCTCTAAGTCTTTGCCTCCTACTTGTCTGGACGATGTTCCACCGGCATCCCTTTTATCAGCCACCTGCTTCATCAGACTCCTGCAACTGGGATAGTCATGGTTCCTCTGGCTAAGAGTTGCGCGCCCTCTCTGTCGAGATTCATCATTGCCTATTCCTATCACAGCAGGGTTGAATGTTCTTTGGATTGCCCCACTCTCCAAGCTGACTTGACTTCTTGGTGCCTGGTAAAGGAAGTCAGTTTCTGAGTTAGGTGCAGCTATTCCCTGTCTGTACAGACGAGTTGTGACCCTGTCTTGACCGGTCACGGGAGCATGATGATCGAATGGATCGATACCCGAGGTCCTGACAGGGATTGCAGAATGCGAGTTCTGCGGAACCTGTCTTTGCACTTCTAACACTTCCGGCAACTCAGCGGACGTCTGCTGATCTCCAAGGTACAAAGCACCTCTGGAGAAGTCCGTTTCGCATCTCGAGACCTGGTAATTGATGGATTCGGTCTCATAGATCTCGTCCGGATGGCGCTTGGCGTAGTGCACCTTGAGATCACACCTCCGCCTGAACTCTGCCAGGCACTGGAGGCAGGAGTAGGTGCGCTTAATGGTACTGTGCTGCTCCTTGATATGGCGACCCAAGTTAGACTTGCACGACAGCTTTTTGTGACAGATTTCACACTCAAAATACACTTCCCTGAGGCCGTTGCTCATATATGGTTGGATGATCTTTGGAAGAAAGGAGATAAGGCCAAATTTATAAAAAAAACATGTTTAGCGTCCTGCCTTTTTGAAAGATAGGAAGGAGGAGGCCCTTTTTTCTTTTTTTTTTTCTTTCAAAATGGCTGCTCAAAATGGCCCCTCGGGACATTTTCCCTAACAGTAATTTTTTTTTTTTTAAATCTATTTTAGCAAAAAGGGAGGCGACCCCCAAAAACGAAGCGGGCGGGGACACTAAACATGTTTATTTTTTTTACATGGCCTAAGGGCATCACTGTCACTTCTGCACTTTTTTTTTTTACAGGCATGTGAAATACATTGTTAGGTGTTGTGTTTGAGAGAGTACAAATACATCTGAATCCCAGACAAGTACAATCTGAATTTATCAGCCTTGAAGGAAAAAGAACACAGGTGCTGTGGGGGAGGACTCGCAAGATTAATCACAGAGTTGCCAATTTATGTTCAAGTGATTAGTGTACTTCAAGCATTACAAAATCCCCCCCCCCCCCTTTTTTAAAAATCAGATTTCGTTCCAATTTTCACTGATCTGTTGAACAGGAACACTTTTGCTTCAATTGAAATCAATTTGTTATCAGGCTGGACTCCCCCTTTTAACAAAGTACAAAACCGAGAGAAGGAGATCAGTGAATGTTTAAGCATTTTAACTTGATAAACAAAATCAGGTATTTCACAATTTTCAAAGTTTTTGAACTAACCAAACATAAATTGTAAGCTCTGTGACATACATGTACCTTTAGGACGCCTCATCAGTTTAAATTAAATTGTCTGGAGAAATATTTCACATGTGCCATGCATATATATTTTGTACACACATCTTTTCTCCTACCCTCAAGAAGTAAAATCTTTCTTCACCAACAACTGTGAAAACTTAAGTCTCTGAATTTTCAGGGAATGCAAATGGGAGAGCTGCTCAGCCCTGTCTCAGAGCTGTTTTTTTTTTTTTTTTACTTGCTTCTTATCTTTCATAAGATTAACAGATGATAATTTTCTGTTTTTCATGAGATTTTCATCAACCTATCACTGAATCATTTCTCTGCTGTTAATAAACCAAACTTATTTTTAAGGTTGATGTTTATCTCTGAAAGGGAAGATTGGGTTCTGGTTTGGGACAAATTCTCCTTTAAGCCTAGAGAATGAAAGAATTCCATAATCAAGAAGTTACTGTAAAATCAGTAACTTTCACAACATGGAACTCTTTGGACTTGTCAGCAACAGTGTTTGTTTTCAAGCAAGAAACTTCTAGAATTGCAAAAATTCATTGCTGTATCAGTTGTGATTCAATGATTCTCTAGTACACTTTTGTGAATCAGAACAGCTCGCGAAATTCATGAACACTTCATGCGAGCAAAAGTATTTGGTTTTACAGTTGAGGCTCGTCCAGATATGATGTGGAAAACTGCCCCCCAAAAAAAACATGTTAATGAATGGCAACTGCATGCCACAAAGATCATGCACATATTCACTGAGCTTTGTGTCATAAGAAAGGAAATGTAAAGTGTATTTATATAATATTGGATGGCTTTGAGTGTGATACAAGTTATATCGCTCAGGCTATGACAATATTGAATGAGTCGTAGACGAGTGCAATATTGTCATAGCAACAGCAATATATTCTTGTTTCACATTAAAACAAAGCCATATAATATTATCATTATTTTCTATATCAAACTGACTAGCAAAATAACAAAATTTGACTAACCTCAGAAAAATATGGCTTCGTTTTTGTGTGATATCGATATCGATAGTTGAAGTTCCCTGATGACTGAGCAATACGACAACAATATTGATCAGTCATCAGGACACTGTGCTAAAGATATTAAATACACTGATTTATTGTACCACTTGGAAGCCTTATATAGATAATACACTTTACATCAAACAAAGACCAGTGCGGTTTTGTCGCGTCTGAACGAGACTTAAAGGGCAAGTCCACTCCAAAAATAACTTACTTTTAATAGAAGCAGAAAGATCAGATAAACCAATCTAAAAAAATTTGAGCAAAATCAGATAACTATTTAAGAAATTTATAAATTTTTGATGACATGAATAACTTTGAAAATCACAAGACAAATTGGCAACTCACTCTTGAGTCTGTGACGTCATTGCCTCACTATCCACTAATTAGTTAAAAGATTTTACTCAAATCTTTTTTTCTTCTGTTTCACTTGTATTTCTGCATCATTTAAAAGCAAATTATTTTTGGAGTGGACTTGTACTTTAAGTATGTCTCCTCTCACCTCTGACTCCTTGTTCCAGGACCAGCCACCTTGGTCCAAGCCCTGATCCAAAGAGGTCTGGAAACCAGACACGTCAGAATCAACATTGGTGCTGTGAGAATCTGGGTGAAAATGAAAAGCAATAATATGAACATTTAGTGATACATAACACTAGTATTAGACACAGAGCCTTGTTCTAGCGTGAGCATTTTATAATGGCCTAAAAAAAGGCCTACCAAAAAGAAGAAGTTTTATTGCCCTTTAGGTGCCAAAAAAAAGGGTTGGTTGGTAGGAAATCTTTTCTTCTCCGTCTTTGGGCTGATATTTCTCAGTTTTGAATGCTTTAAGATTTTTTTTTCTCTAAAAAACAGTGAATTTTTTTTTTTTTTATAAATAGCCGACTGAAGATTTTAAATTTTTGGGACGGTCACAAAGGGCAATACCCCATCTTTTTTTTTTAGGTCTAATGAACATATCTACATGATATATTGGTGCTGTAAGAATCTGAGTAAAAATGAAATGCAAAGCAATCAATTATTGGATGCAATTAGAATTCAGTGGTACATAACACTAGCGTTTAATAGTCAAAGAACTTTATTTTAAGGGGAGTTGCCTATAATCTCATCACTAATGGTCATTCATGTATATAAGTCATACATTTCAAACAGACACATCAGAATCAAAATTGGTGCTGTGGGAATCTGAGTAAAATATAAATGAGAAATGTATTGGTACAAGGTTGCTGCCCTGGTACTAACAAGTTTATAATTTAGTTTGTATCTTCTCTCAAGAAAATATGCACCCTCAGGGAATAATTTTCCTGGTATCGCATCGCAATTTGCTATGCATTTTTGCATGACTGCTATACAAAATATCTTTTGTGTAGCAGTTTTCTTCCATAGAAATGTACAGAATTTAATTTGAAATATTTATCCATCGGCTGAAATTGCTAATCAAAAAATTTGAGGAAAATTATTCCCTGACCCTACGTGTTTTTGTTTTTTTCATCCCTTTGAGAAATAAATTTCATCAACAAAAAATTGGAAAACTATGAAAATATTATTAACCAAGAGGTAGAGATAAGGAACATGTACTGTAGTTGCCTATTTGCACGTGATCTATTACAATTTTGAAATTCATACCTTTCCTACTCTTTATCAGATTTTCTCCAAACTTTCACTTGTCTTATTCTCTCATGCAATTCTCATTGAAACCAGAATTTAAAAAATTAGTCAATGGGGATATCAAGAAGAAGAAAAAATGTTGATAAAATGAATGGGTGTCATGCGTCGTACAGGACATACACAAGTTGCAGGAACTTGCCGGGAAAGGAGTCTATTAATAATGCCACCATATTTTAAAATGTACTTTTGATGACTTTATGTGTACCTTGTCTGGATTCTAGCGGTGACATCTCATCATCTAACACACCCTGTATGCCGTAATCAAAGACATTCGACCTGGAATCAGCTGATTGGCCACCCTCCTGGTCTACGGAATCCTAATAGGAAACAAGAACAAAAAAATCAACAATGGAACTGAGCAAAAATAAAAGAAGAAAATAAGAAATTACAGATTACAATACATTTACATGTATACATCACAGCTACCACATTTATATGAATATACTCTACTGGGCTTAAAAAATACAATGTATTACATCATTACAACAGTTGAAGCTGAGCCACCATGAATAGGTGCTAAAGCATTCAAAGAATATCTCACTTCCAGGTACCCATTTACACCTGATACATAATAAATTATATATTCTGGGCCAAAATTTAGGATATTTTTTTCTCTTCATCAGATAATAATCATATTAAAGATTACAACTCTATTTCACCTCCCTGCCCCTGTCAGAGATTATGGTCTTATTGGATTTAGCGTGAAAGAGAAAAAGCAATGGATCTACCGCCCCCAAGTGTACCTTGTTTTTAGTCGAAGCAGCGTCGCTCGAACCTCCTGCTTCTTTCTCCCTGCCCTCATCCTCATCTTCAACTACAGTGATGTCATCTTCATCTGACCTCTCATCTTTAACCTTTGACCCAGCATCTGGTGTTCCTTCCATGTCGCTCACCGATGCATCTACGACTATGAATGAGGATCGCTTTTTTTCAAGGGAGTGCGACCTCTGCGGTTGCCTTACATAACGGTACTAGATGCTGTGCTTTGATTTGGAGGTAGGGACATGTTCCTGGCCTGTAAAAAAGGGGGGAGGTGAAAATATTGATTAATGTAGGTATATATATTTCAAGAACATCTGAGGGGCAATAACCAACTAATACTGATAAAGTGATGCTGATAGCGATATACAATAGGGGGTCTAGACTCTATACAATGACACTGAAATAGTCGAGAAAGAAAAATAAATTCATGAAAAGTAACACTAGGTCTAGGCTACATACTTAATATACATGGAACCTATTCTTGAAATGAACACGACCACATTATGACTGTGAAAATAAAGTTTGACATTTTTATGTTCTTTCTTAATTTTCCCTATTTTTATAAATCAATCAAAATTTTGATACTTTTGCACAATTGAATTAATCTTTAGAATTGGAATGATATACAAATGAAGCACAGGAGGATACACAAAAATCAGTGACAATTTATGACAATTACAACACAAAAATCAGTGACAATTTATGACAATTACAACGCAAAGGTCAGGTGAAAGGTTAATTGTGCAAACTAGGGCATAATTTTTAAGGATCCCCATACACAATAAGCTGTAGTTGTACACGTAGATCTACTGCATGTCTAGGCCTTCGGATTCCCTACGCCTACGGCCGGAGAGTGCCTATTGCTGCCCACGAGCTCCCGCAGTTTGACGTCCGCAATACAGCGGAAACCCTCCACTACAAATGAGAATGCAATGCAGGCAGAACTCAATTTTGTCATTGATTACATACACTATCACAGAACTATCATACACTAATGATTGCCCCATCACAATTCCCCCACACGTTTAAATTATGCAAATCACTAATATTACAGTGGTAAAATGTGCGATAATTCGTAAATAAAGAATTTTGAGTGACAATAACTTACGATCCGAAATTGAAGCTTACTGATTGCATCGTCTAGTCTGTCCTCGAGGAGGTTTTCTTCATTTATTTTGAAAAGAGCCCGATGGTCGGAAAACTATGGTCGGATCCATAGAACTCTGACAGAAAACGGGTGCATGGGTTCTGTGGTCTTGACAACCATTATTCATTCCAATTTATATTAGGTGTATGGGCTATCATTAGTACCTGTACGATCTCTGTTTTTTTCTTCATACCCTTCCTCCGCCTTCTTACAAGACTAAGTCTACCCTTTCGAACCTCCCCCCTCTTATTTTCTCTCTTTCATCCCTCTCAGCTCACTCAATCAGGGACAGGGGCGGTGATCCCGGGGGTGCCACGTAAAAATATCAGAGATAATAATGTCAGAGGTATGGTCAGAGCCAAATATGTCAGAGGTAAAAATATCAGAGGTAAAAATTAATGTCAGAGGTAAAAAAAATCAGAGGTAATAATGTCAGAGGTAAAATTATCAGAGGTATAATGTCAGAGGTAAAAATGTCAGAGGTTAAAATGTCAGAGGGAAAATGTCAGAGGGAAAAATATTAGAGCTAAAAATGTCAGAGGTAAAAATATCAGAGGTAAAAATGTCAGAGGTAAAAATGTCAGAGGTAAACATTATCAGAGGTACAAAAAAATGTCGGGGATAAAATCAGTGCCATCTCAGCACTTTATCACACACAATCTCGAGACGATATCCTTCTTCCATGATGTATATTTTGTAAATGACTGTGTAATTTGTACATGTCCTGCATGAGGATAATACAATGTGGAAAATAAATTTGAAACTGATATTTGTTTTGTGATCAGGTCAGTGCATATATTAAGTTCTAAAATGTTCGAATTTTAAATTGGTTGATGTTTTAAAGTTTATTTGGTTTTGAGGAAGTAATTAAGTACATATAATTTAAAGATTGAATGAGATAAAACAGGGAATCAGTTATAAAGATCGCACAGAAATTCCTCCCCGAATTCAGTCATCAGAACCATCTTCATTCATGTTCATTCCAGCAAAGCCTGATGACCAGAAAACATTAGGAAAAAGACTCGAATGCTCCCCCCCCCCCCATCATACAAATTAAAGTTTAACAATTATATCAAAGCTTTGCTCGAAGAATGTTAGATAGTAGGCCTACATGTAGTAAACGTTGAGACATATAATTGTTATCTATAGCCAAATGTTTTTGTTATGTATTATAATGTTACCACCGTCTTGCTTTAATTTACTAACAATATCGTTATACTATAACGATAAGATGTGTATCTTCTCAACATAGTTGTATTTCATTGTTTGACACGATGTGTTTTCTACGGAAATCATCTTTTGAGCTACATTGTGGTAATTTAATAAATAATTTTTCTATCCAGTTCGATATATCATGTCTCATCAAAACGCTAAATTATGATGGCGTGCTTTCTCAAGGAAATTGGATCGATGTCATGTGTCCAAATCTCTCGAAGATCGTGTCGGCAGTTAATTGTTCCATTTTACCAACGCGAAATGTCCCCAATATCGTAGCCAAGAACAGCTTTTCGAGGATCTTTCCACAACTCCCAATAAGTATTGAGTGTAGGAGCCTGCGCGCGCCTTTGAATCTTGTTTTAAAACGCCATAAATCATCACCATCATTAAGTGACATCATCATAATCATCGCCGTTATCAACATCACCATCAACATCATCACCGTTAAAGCATCAATGACCGGCGCGGGCATCATCACCACCATCATCATTATTACAATCATCGCCATAATCATCAATATCAGCACCACAACTATCTTCATCATCACTATCAACATCATCACACTCGTGTACCATCAGCATTATCATTAGCCTCCTCCTCCTCCTCCTCCTCCTCCTCCTCCCCTTCCTCCCCTTCCTCCTGCTTCCCTCCTCATAGTACCCTTTTAGCAATGTTTGCTAACTGACAAGGGACTACTTTAGATCGGCAGCGCTCCAGGGGAGGGGTGGGGTGCTGGGGCAAAAATACCTCCATTTTAAGTATATTATACCCAATGTATCATTCTTTATCCTCATACTTATATTTATAAGCACTACTGTTTACCTATGGTAAGTGCCCCTTCTTTCTTTCTACTACGTGTTCTTCTTTAATCACTATATTTCCCTTATTCAACATGTAGTAGTTTTACAACGTTTATCAGTAAGATCAAGAAGAAAACAAATCGCAACATTTTCAGGTTATTGCCTCCCCCCCCCCCCCTGGCCCGCGTTACAGAATCCTGGATCCACCACTATTATGTGATGAGTTCCTATCCAGGTCCCTAGGCCAGAGCCAGGGCTAAGCGAATATATTGACCCCTAATCGACACCACGTGCTATTGATCGTTCTACTATTCCCCTCTTCAAGCAGTTATTACGTAACATATATCGAGCAAACTATAGATAACAATAGAAAACCGATAGACTGGATAAGGTTATATCCCGACGGCTATTGTGCCTACAATTCGCTTCGTTTGGTACAGTGAATATAACCTGGCTGCAGTAGGGGCAGAAAACAACAATTGACACCTATTTAGATTTGTGGATAACTTTCCATCATTCCAAAGGGGAAAGGGCCCTTATTTCTCAAAAACACAAGCCGTTTACCAAGGAATATTCAGAATTCCATCTAGAACTTCTCGTAAAAATCACAACGCCCTAAATGTGCAAGGACTTTGTACAGGTAAAAAAAGAAGTGCGCATTTCTCTAGCCTTCGCTTGGTTCCTGATGGGATGTTAAGAAGTATCATCAAGACCAAGACAGAGCAAGACAACATCTGCAAGAATTTTCAAACCTGAAGAAGGCAGATGTAACCCGAAGAAGAAGACACATTGTCTAATCGATAGTAGAATTTTTCTGAGTTGTTGGATAATACTTGAAGAGATAGTACAAATATTGTGATTATCCAAAACTATGGGTGACATAAATGCCAATATTTCGGAAGGAAAGGAGGAGCAGGTCAAGATTTTTCTCTGGTGTAGCCCTCGGACAGTGTCAACAGCGTTTACGAAATGTATCAGCTTCATCAAAGGAATGGAGGTAGGTAGTGGTCACAAAATCGCAAAGACTTTCCAGAAATCAAACCAAGGCAATTTCAATAGCATAAACATGTACCTAATTGCGTATTGAGATGGGCGAATTCCTAGACATAATCAATTACATAATAATCCGGCTATATGGTTTCTAGAGGCAATACAGGACATTGGAATTTTACTCGAGTTGATTTCTTTAGTATTTGCGATCAGGTTTTCTTGTTGAATATAATCAACTGGGGGTGATGGTTACATTTATGAAAGTGAAGATGATGATGACGGTAAGGGTGATTACTATGATGATGACAAATTGTGATAATATTGACGATGATTACGATGATTAATGGTGTTGGTGATTATGATGATGATACATGTATAGTCATGATGGTAGTATTATTGGTAGTGGTGGTGGTAGTAGTAGTGGTAGTTGAAGTAGTAGTGGTAGTAGGACAGTGGTGGTAGTATAGTAGTGATATTAGTAATAGTAGTAGGAATAGTAGTAATACCAGTCCAGTACTACAGTAGTAGAAGTAGAAGTAGTAGAAGTAGTAGTAGTAGAAATAGTAGTAGTACCAGTGGTAGAAGTACTAGTAGTAATACCAGTGGTAGTAGTAGTAGTATATAGAAGAATTAGTAGTAGTTTCCCCTGCCCCCGTACCTGTGCCTTTAGTTCACCTATTCATGGAGGGTTTCCCAATTATTTTCCATCCACAGGTATGGACGGAACCATTCGTCTGGTGCTTCCTGTCCACGAAGGAAGCCAAGACCTATCTCGATGTCGACCTCCCAATGGAGCTCAAAGGCAACGAGGAAGTCTTCGCCAAGACTACGGAGCTGATAAGCAAAATGACGGGGGCGAACGTCATCACCGAACGTATCGTGTAGGTTTTACGACATAATGATGCAGGAGTGGAGATTTCTTGTCATGATCGTGTTGAGGGGGAGGGGGGGGGGGGTGCAGTCTGCAAGCGCAGACGCTAATTCGAAACTTTATCACAATTCCTAAAGCCTTGAGCAGACCCTAGCTCTGTCACTCTCTGGCTGTGTCAAAATAGCAGCTTCGGTACATGTCCTAAATGCAGTGCAGTGCGCTGTCATCCGAGTCTCACAGTGCAGACACTATTATGTGCAGATATCGACAAGGTTTTGTGCCTACAAGTTCCATTTGAGGTCTGAAATTTGTTAGGGGCACAGACATTCGATGGGCACATTTCCTTGTTTCGTAGGGAAAGCAAGATAGAATTTTAAAAAGAGGACAGTGCATCCCTCTCCCCCGTGATCCATTCATTCCACATTTTTCTCTCTAGCTCTGCTTTTTTTCTGTGTTTTTTGTCAAAACAACTTTCTATCAAAGTTGACCTTCCCTTTTAGTAGTACTTGGCCTATAGTTGTAGTAGTATACAAATATACACTGTCTTGAGAGGTTCTCGTTAATATGGGCAAGAGGTACTTGACTCCAATAGTACCATTTGCTGAGATCGAGTGCAGCCCCAACTTAGCAAATAATTCGAGTAACCGAGGCCCATAGTTTAAACAGGTTACTAAAAAAGAAGACAGTGTATATTTGCTATATATCCTGCATCAACAATCAATCTTTAACAAAAAACTTTTTCTTCAACTCCCAAATAGTACTTCCACTCCCCAATAGTACGACCACATAGTACTTTTTCAGAGCTACCTCAAAATGGCTGAAATATTCATGGTCACGTGAAGAGCTGTCAACCAATCGAAAATCAATAAACTTTTGATCCAGGATATAATATAGTATAGAAGTAGTAGTAGTAGTAGTAGTAGTAGTACGTAGTAGTAGTAGTAGTAGTAGTAGTAGTATAGTAGTATGTACCAGTGTGCAACTATATGCACTTTCGTGATTATTTCTTCTTCTTTTTTCCACATCAGATACGCCAATGTAAAACCGAGACTGGAAGCAGCAAAAGGACGCTATGTGTTCGTCAAGGACATGTGTTTAGCCATGAGCGAAAACAAGCACCAGTACCTTCCCGAGGGCTTCCGGCATACCTTCCTCATCCGGACACCTGAAAGAGCCCTCCAATCCTTCCGTAACTCCTACTTCCACCACACCAAATCACAGGGTCTCCTCCACGGCGAAGCAGCCGACGAACAGACCTTCGATCTCCTGCGCGACTGTCCGCACATGGAAGCTAGCTATAATATAACCGACGTCTACGACTTCTGGAAGTACGTCCGCGACGAGATTGACCCGAACCCCATCGTCATTGACGCCGATGATCTCCTGACGCACCCGAAGGAGATCATGACGAAGTACTGCGAGCTGGTGGGTTTACCCTTTGATGAATCTTTCCTGCAGTGGGACCCGTCATTGGATACCTTCAAGACGTGGAAGCAATGCGGAGACGACCAGCTGATGAATATGGTTGATTTCTATGGCAGGGCTATGCACAGCTCATGCTTCATGCCACCAAGCACGCCAATGCCACGTGATAAAATGACCCCTGACGTCATAAAGGGAATAGAGAAGACGATGGATTCTTATCTTGAAATGTATGAACATCGTATTAAGATTTAAGATCAGTAATCTCTCTCAAAATATTATAAATATTAAATATCGGTTATAAAAATTATATTGTAATGATGTAACCGACCAACCAAATTTTATGCCCAACTTTATTAATGTAATATATTGCATATATTCAAAGCGTCACTAATATTTTATATTAATTAAAATGATTGGTCTAATTATCATCCGAACTGGAAATAAATTTGTCCAAGGTTTATTAACAGTCGATAACACAATTACCCTTATTATTGGCAATATTTTAACTATAATTTCTTTTTAGATCATCTCATAATGGATGAAATGAATTTGATTTATGATGAATGCAATTTGCTCAAAATTCTCAAGCTTTTCAGAGCAGACGCATCATACCTGCGACAAAAACTGAAGAATGTTACGAAATATACAGATGATTTACATATCTTTTTTTTATAAAGCAACTCTTGACTTTTCCGTTCTGTCAGTAATTGGAAATGTTTAAATACATGTAGGTTAATTATCGTTTTCATTTTCCCTTTCTTACCGACAGCCATATTTACGATTTTTACAATAAATATATATCTTTTAATTTTCCATTTTGTCTTGTTTCTCCTCGACCTCTGTTACCATTACTTTTCATTGTGGAACACTTACTTAACATAATGTTCTTCAATAAAACAATGGAATGTATTCTTATACTTTTAAATCTTTTTAGAATTGTGTATGTTTATCGAATTTCAAAATCAACAAGAAAATCTATCATGTTTGGTTGTGTGAAGGGTAGGTGCGTGGGTATGTGGGTGTGTGTTTGTGTATGTGCGGGGCTGCGTGTAGGCCTGTGGATGTGTTTTCACGAGAAACGTTTAATTTTACCTAGGTTTTCTTTTTAAAGGCCCACTGCACTACTTGTAGCTACTTGCGCCCTCTATGTAACAAACAATGCCTAATCGGTGACCATTGGTCCCCCATGATCCTCTTTTTCTTATGTTAACTGAGAGCTGATTTGATGAGATAACCACCTGTCCAGTGACCTTGCAGGGCGCTCTAATCCCTCCTGTAAACTATGGCAGATACGCTTTTAATGATATCGTAATGGATGAAATAAATTTAATTAGCGATAAATACACTTTTCTCATGGCTGGTCGAACACATTAATTATTAAAATGCGATTGGCGAGAAATGCTTAGTCGGTTATATAGTGCGTCCCGGAAAAAAACGAAACCGAGAATTATCGATGTTTGACCATATCTTTATTTTAACAGTAATTAATAAATGACACATATTTGTCAAGCTTAGATCCTCCTCTTTCATTTGGTGCATATTTCACGAATGAGTGATTGAAAACAATTTGAAGAAATTTGGGTACCAAAAAGTTATTTGGCGAACGGTATCTGAATTTCAAAGAGAAAGTCGCAATTCTAAAAAGTTCACTTTCTGCCCTTTTCATATGGCACCTTAATCGGGAAAAATTAGCCAGGAATAACAAAGTTCCGTTTTTTTAAAGTAATGCTTGCATTTCCATAATTTTATTAAACGAATTCGTTTTCACTGGCTGCCTACCCTAACAACAAACGATGAAGACGAAAGACTTCATGCATGGCTGTTACAAAAAATTATCGTTGCTCTGTAAAAATTGCATGGTCAAATAGGAAAAGAAAACGTACCTACGTCTAGCAACAGGGAGGTGAGCTTTTATCATTTTTATTCACCACTCCGTTTCGTTAACGATCAGCCATGCATACTTTTGGCAACTCTACGAAGCGATTAACAGTCCAGTGACTTATCCACGGCACCTCTACTGGATTCGAATCCGATCTATGTATACAAATATTTTGAAAGCTAACCAGTATACGACACTCACATCACACAGCAAACTTTTTTTCGGTTGAGAAAAGCACTCCTTATTTAATTCATCTTAAAGTGGCCGGCAAAATAGCATTGCGGCAATGTAAGATCAATATGAAATCAAAGTTACTCGATTTCATTTGATGTGATTATTTAATCATCAAAATGTATCTGTTTATTATTTCTTCTAAAAAAAGAGGTAAACTATAAGAAAAATGCATGACGTGCAAATTATATAGTCGTACATAATACATTCATATTTTGGCAAAAGGAACGCGAAGCTAACATAGAAACAAATCGCTAATCGAGGTTAGTTCCGACTTCAGATAACAAACTATATAATTTTGACATCCGAGCATTCCTACAATTAATTCAATTAACTTAATACAAACCTTACAATATTTACAATTTCTTTTTACATTCTTTTTACATCAACTGTGAAATTCACTTCGTATTCAAATAAGTGTAAAACAAAAACATTAAACATGTTCAGGTAGGCTAATGACATGCGGCACATTAAATGTAGGCATATACTTTGATATACTTTAAACAAATTTAATATAATGCAGGTCCATGTATAAAAGGAGACGCGATAGCTCAGCTGGTAGAGCAGTGGTCTCGTAATCTGGCGACCCGAGTTCGACATCAAGGCGATGCGCTAGTGCCCTTTGGTAAGGCAATAATATTAATCCTCACTACCAGGTCTCTCGGAGAGGAGTTAAAGCCGTCGGGCCTCTGGTTGCTTACTAACAAGCAGTCAGGTAAAATAACCACCACTACTGCTAATAGTACTCCCGCACTGAATTACTGTGTTACATCCCTAGAAATCATCACAATTGCTTATTTTTCGCTTTACCTACGATATCCAAAAGATAAAACAATCTGACGACCTATAATTTCTCAAGGCACAGAATTATTTTGACAGAAAATTGAAATTGCTTGATGTTGATTTCTTGAAAGTCTCTAAAATCGCATTCTTGTAACGTTAACGTTGACAAAGGAAGCGGATATTAACATATCAATTATCATATTTTGGGGAAGATTGTTTCCAACTCATAGTTTGCAGACCGCATCTCCAGCACAATCAGCATAAATGGCTCCAAGGACATATGAATTGACCCGGTAGCATCTTTATATAGGAGTAAATATTGGGAGCATGCAAGAAGGGAATTCATAATTACTTTAACACAGTCTCAACAAATGTATAATATACATTGAATATCATGGAGCGGCCGCCTCCTCATCAAGTTGTGACTGAATAATTATGGGTGGTGTTACTATGGGTAGAGCTATTCTCCCTCGCTGACGCTCCGGCCGGTTTCACCCAGCGCTTCTTCAGACCAAGGATCTCCAGAGACTTTTTCCTGAACGTCTTGCTAGTGAAGAAATAAACCGGGCCATTCCACCAGCAGTTACAGAGCAAGAGAGCGAGTGAAACAAAGTAGAAATAGGACCAAAGAGTTGAAATGGACTGCTCGCCTCTGTTCATCGTCAATATGAGAGCGATAGCAAATGGCAGACAGGAAGCATAAAACAAGACAGAGATGATGATCACCGTCTTGAGTCCCTTCAAACCGCGTCCGGACAACGTGTGACGATGGACAGCCTGTTCGACGTTCGCTTCGGTGATCTTGAAGACATGCTTGCAGCTCTTGTCACTGTTCTGTTGGTCACGGTTGCCATTAGATTTGACGAACGGAAGTCGACGCGAAGCGCGGTATGCGATCATCAGGAGCCGGACGTTGATAACCGACAGTACAATCAGCGGGATGGCGATTGCCAGGACCATAAAGGCCAGCCCTATTTTGGTCTCGACGCTTGTAATGATGTCCGCTGTGCTATATCGGTCTTTGCAAATTGAAGCAAAAATCATTGTAAATGGAAATCCGTCAATCGGCAGCACAATGATGGTCAAGCATGTAACGAACGAATTTGAAACACAGACAACAACCTTGAACCGTTTAACAGTCGCCAAACGCATGTACTTGAATGGGCGCGTCACGGCAGCATAACGTTGAACGTTAATGAGACAGACGAGATATAATGAGTTAATGGAGCAATAAAAAATAGAAAATGGCACTAATCGACAAACATTTTCGGACCACTGTTTCTTTAAGGTACCAATGTACAGGGCATGGATCAATGCCCCACCGCACCTCCGACAATGTCCGTATACGCCAGAGCTTGAAACAAGAAACTTGTGACTTCGTCGAAGCAGGATCTTCCCCTCCTCAGGACTTTGACGATGAAAGCGTTTGAAGCCACGATTAACAATGGCACGGTTATACAGAAAACAACGTGAACGATGTCAAATGTAGTGTACTCTCTGGTCTCCACCTCGCCTGCAGTAGATGACGTCTCGAGGTGAGCAAATGCAGTGCTTGTCTGTGACATGCTGGCAAATGTTTAAAGGCAGTTCAAAGAAAATGACGAAAGTGATTGTACAGACTGATCACCTTTGCGTCTTACTTCAATGCATGTTTTGTACAAAATTATGATGAATCCTTGCATCTCTTTGTATCTTGTAGGCCTAGCGTTCAATTTCAAACTTCGCCGCGGTAGATCAGCATGAGAATGTGCGATTTCTCACACAAGTCACGGATATTAATGTTGTCGTCAAATATCGTTTTCTGTTGTATTCTAGAGTATGAAAAAGATTTATCGTTCAATACTAGCTGACAATGTTCTAGATCGGAGATTAATGTTTTGTAAGCATGTTTTTATTCAGCAAAATCGATGCTGAGTAACTAAAGTTCAAATCCTTGTGACCACAAATTCATGAGCGACTCGACTAGTAATGAGAGGAGCAAACATCAGAATACGAGGATGGGAGCAAAAATCCAGGGTGACGGTAGAAAGTGTTTGCATGGCACACTTTAATGACAGGTACTTCCTATGTTGGGTTACCAAGCAAAATCATCCATCCTCTCTAGACAATGCACGTAATCAATGACGTCATGCCTCTGCGGCAGAGATTCAAGAGCCCATTAAGTTGTTTCGTGATGAGTTAGTATGTAGTTCGTCCTTGGTTGGTTGTAAACGATCGAGGCTCGTGTTTTGTTTTTTTTCTCGGCGGAATGCATCTTAGGTCGTAATGGGTAGTGTATACCTCAACTCTACTTGGTCTGCTTATTTTCGCTACGCCAGCTCGGGGGAAGGGGAGGGGGGGGGGGGGGGGGGACAGGGGGGGGGGGGCTGACCACTGAAAACGATAATTCAATTTTTATGGGGTGTCTTCCACGGATTCCCCACTCCACGTTTTTCTTTAAAGGTGTAGTCAATTGATTCAACTCAATTGAATAGACAAGAAAACAAATTACTGCAATGTGTATCACCGACTTCTTTTAAAAGTCACAGGATGATGAGGATAATCAAAGCTAATAATGAGCTCAGGACATTTCCGATCTATATACTGGCTATGCCACCAATTGGAAACATGGTGCAGAGTAAATGATATCTTTTACGCCCTAGAAACCCGACAAACCTGTTGACAGTGAAATATATTTTCTTAGAATTCTAGAATTTTACTTCTTTCACCCAATTTACATCCTCGGGGTATCATCAATTTCAATTATCAACGCCACTACAAGGACAGGTTTAACAACGAACTGTACTGCACAAGTCAAAACAAAGACATAAAAGCGGGATTAAACGTGTATCTGGACATCTGAAGTAACTACCAAGGTTGCAATAAAGATTGAATTAAGTTTATGCTTTCATCGTTAATGGTTTCATTGTTAGCGCCTCAAAAGAAAGCTTTCCGTGGTTCAACGAATTGATACCCAAGTAGCATGCGTGGCTTGGCTCCCTCAAAAAGTTTGGCTTATTACGCCACTGCGTTTCTGTAGCAGTATCATGCTT